TCGCTCGAACTTGCGGTATTATATACGTCCGATTCTACATTCTATCGATTTGATACTAATATCTATATTATATTTAGTCTACTCGTACGCCTACCCGAAAAGTCTTTGACTAACAACGATTTGAAAGAGCCCAAGTCAAATTTATAGCGAACTCACGCCTTCCATTTCAGATCCTCCGGCATAAAGACTTTAAAGATCTAATTACAGAGGCTCAGCTTTCTTAACAAAAACTCACCCTTCTATCACTAAAGACCGCGCGGCGTCGGCTCCAGTCAATCGTCCATACAGAGCAGCAAAAGCTCCTTTCTCTTCTCCCAGCCGGAGCGAAGCTATCAATTGCCCTTGATTGTTGGACCTCACCCTTCTAACAGGCATTCATGGCAATCACAGGCTATTTTGTGGATATCAATTGGGATTATCATGAGATACTTCTAGGTTTCATGCCAGTTCACGGCCAGCATACAGGCTCCTATCTAGCAGACGTTCTCCTTGAGGTTCTTCAGCAACAGCAGGTTACCAATCGAGTGATTGCGATTACTACAGACAATGCGTCAAATAATAAGACCTTAGTCGATAGTCTATGTGATTCAATCGAACGGTTAGAGCTTCCTAATTTCACTGAAATTGTACGGATTCCATGTCTTGCTCATGTGATTCAATTGAGTCTGAAAGATCTCCTTAGCCTAATAAAGGCTGATCCAAAAAACGACAAGACAGCAACAACATGGTCGGAAGAAAACGGGAGTGTTCTTCAACAGGCAAAGAGACAGAAGGGAATCATTTATACGCTAGCTAAGGTAAAGTAACTAATGCCTTTAACAATTTTATCTAATACTAACTACTATACTGCCAGGTACGGGCCTTCGCAGTTTTTATTAATGCCAGCCCACAGCGACGGGAGGCATTTCTAAATCTTCAAAGCGAAGAACCGAGGCTTACCCCGATCCAGGATGTACGCACTCGGTGGAATTCAACATATCTTATGCTCCAGCGCGCCAATCGCCTTTCAGATAGCTACCAAAGATATTGCGCAGAGCATCAGCGCCCCGAATTCCGGCTTGGTAAAAGCGAATGGCGGCAGATCGAATACTTGCTCCATATCATAAAGCCTTTCTACAAATGGACGGTTAGCCTATCAAAGATTAAGGCGACAACAATCCATGATGTGTTCCGGGTCTATAACCGACTATTTACCCATTTTGAGCAGGCCCAGGCCCGACTTCGGCGAAAGAAAGTGCCTTGGAAAAAGGCTATGCTTAAGGCTCTTGAGGCCGGAAGTAAGAAACTCTCGGTATACTATAAAGCAACTGAGCAAGCACATGGCAGCCTATATGCAATTGGTACAATTCTTGCACCTCAGCATAAACTTGAATTCTTTAAAGGACCAGAGTGGGCAGGTGAAGTCGATAATATGGATTCCTCCTGGCATGACATATATGAAAAGTCTCTTCATAATCATTTGGAGGATTACTCAAAACGCCAGCCTAAAAAGTAAGTGCTTACAAAGGCAAAGTCCTCCTCGCATAGCACGGATGCAATGATGAGCCTCTTCGAGGAGGATCAACCAGAGCCACCACCGCAGCCGAAGACTGGGTGGCAAGAAGAACTTAAGGGATATCTTAATACTGGTATGTTTAGATGATCATGATTATAACTTAACTAAGCTAATTATATATAGAACGGAGCATAGTAAACCCATGCCATTTCTGGAAAGAGAATGAGTATAGATTTCCGATACTCGCAGCGGTTGCACGGGATGTCTTTTCTATCCCAGCTACTGGCGCCGGTGTTAAGCGCCTCTTTAGTACTGCTCGCGATATCTGCCATTATCGACGAGGCTCATTGAACGAAGTAACAATACAGGATTTGATGATGCTTCGTTGTTTATCCAAATTTGATATTGAAAGTGAGGAAACTGGGGAGGATTTCCAACCTGAGGCTACCTTAAATCAGGACGAAAGGACTGAGGGTGATGAGATAAGGGAGGCGGGACTTCCTGAGTGTATACCAGAGGCAATTAGCGAGGGTGAGGACGGTGATAACTCAGATGAAGCAGGAGAGATTGTTACCGATCAGGAGGCCGCTGAGGAGTCAGATGATGATTCGGCACTACATCCATTGCCTGCCATCGATACTACAAGTCAGGCACGCCCCCAAAGAGATCGTAAGCGGCGTAGGGATGAAGATCTATACGAGTATACTAGATAGTTTAATCACAGGATACTATAATTACACTACTTTTTGAGAGGAATTAATCCAGAATCATTCAATGCTACCTCCCACTGTAAGCTAAATACCCATTAATACAGGGCATTTCTGCATATCTTATGCAGGTCACGTTTTTCTACGTGTTTGCAGTGTTTACAGTCCCATGGGAGTCCCATCAAAGTCCCATGGGAGCGGACTAGCACCTCACTCCCATCTCTTGGCACTCCCATGGGACCATATGGGAGTCCCATCTACTCCCATGGGAGTGGTCCCATGGGACCAAATGATGGGAGTTGGCAAGGTCTAGGCCCTCCTCTGCAACTGCTCGATAAAAAGGCCTGCAGGTCCTCCTCTCGACCACCTGTCTGCCAACTGGCCTGCAGCCCCCCCTCTGGCTCGCCTCTCTACAAAGGTCCCTCTTCTAAAAGGCCAGAAAGCCCCCTCTGGCCCTCCTATCTGTAAAAGGCATGCAGGCGCACCTCTGGGCCTTCTTCTCTGCTAACTGGCCTGCAGGCACCTCTGGCCCTCCTCTGTAAAAGCCCCTCTATAACTAGCCTATAGGCCCCCCTCTTAGCCCCCTCTATAAAAGCCCCTCTGCTACTACTCTGCTAACTGGCCTATAGGCCCCCCTCTCGGCCCCCTCTATAACCCCCCGGTCGACCTAGCCTATGGCCCCCTCTATCCTAAACGCCCTCCGTTTTACTACCGCCTCCTCGCCCCCCTATCTACCTACGACTACTATCTCCCGCTTATACGACACCCTATGGTACTTCTAATTACTTATTAGCCTCTATACGCTATAGATATAAGGCTACGTAATTAGTATAAGACCCTAGGAGTCCTACCTAGGCCTATTACTTAGCCGCGCACTACCGCTATACTATTCGAATCGAGAGGCCGTTATTATAGTAAGGCGTTATGGCCGGTGGTATATTATATAGTAATCCCCTAGTAGATAGGTCGGATCGCTGGACGAAACACTATCTAGAACAGAAGGGGTAGATTTTAGCTAGTAAATAGTATATATATAAAGTATTACTATTGATATAAAACATATAGATTAGAGTTTATACTGTATATATTTCATATATTTCATATAAATCGACTAATACCTCCCTTTCTAAAATAGCTACGGAAAATCTAAATAGTGCATTTAATAGCCCTTTTCTTACTATATATAATATAATATTTTAATATTTTTATATATTTATTTAGTAGGATATCACCTTAGGAATAACCATAAAAAAAATATATTTCTATGATGGCCGCTATTTAATTCACGTGACGCCGTAAATACGGATACGGTCCCATATTTTTACTACTAGGCGGCTAAGATAAGACGGATACCGATTATACGGGATCCCGTATCGTAATCTACGGTCGCACCCCACCAAAAAAAAAGGATCGATTTTTAACTTAATATTTAACCACCTTCCTAGGGAGCTATGGGTCTGAAACTTTAATAGAACCTAGATATATACCAAGAATAGAACTCTATATTTTTTCAGGCTGTTTTAAGCAGCATTACGGAAGATAGACCAGGTCGAAGATTTCACGTTCTACCTAGTTCCCCCACATTGATTATTAGCCAATCAGAGCTCTTAAAAATCTTCTACCTACCAGGTCGAAGGTTCGGAATAGAGTTAGGGAAGCGCTTAGCACAATAAAGCCTTTATCCAGATTCTCAATAATATACTGTTTCGCCGCTTTCAGCTCGTTAAGAGACAGCTTATAAAGGGGACAGTAACCAGGTTATGCTTCGGCTTTAAGAACGATATCATGATCCACACCGGTTCTGTATAGGGGTAATTCGTCTGATTTCTTTTTCGAGAACACTTCGGCTAGATCATGATACTCCGACGGTAATATCCTCTTGATCTCTCGGAGTTCGGGGTCCTCGTTACCGGATGACTTCACAGTGAGAATCCGATCTATCTCACAGAGTGAGGTAGTAAATATCTCGATTCCTCCGGTAGGATTTCTCTTCTTTCGTGCTTCCCATCTATCGAATCCGACTCTTCTAATTACACTGATATTAATTGCAGGAAGGGGAGATTTATCTTCCTTCTCGTAGGAGAGCGGAACATTTAGTATCTCATCCTTAATATTCCGTACCATCTTTCTCTGCTCTTATATCTGCTAATGACCGTACTGGCGCTCACGAGCGTGAGGGTAGATATCCCTCCTTAGCTTCTGCATCTGTGTAGTTATCTCTGCTAGCTCGGAGAGACGATCTCTTCGGTCTACGTCCTTCTGGTGAATATCGTCCTGCGGAGATCTCTGCAGGATAACCTTCGGGGTTAGGACAGAGATCTTACTTACCACCTCATCGAAAAGAGTTCTTTCATCTGGCTAAATCATTCGGTGTCGTCGGCAATCAAGGAGGACATCATGCTCAGCGAACCACATTCGTCCGAGAATCATGTCATATCGTCCTAGGTCTGTAATTAACATAGGGATCTGACGCTGAATCCTTCTATCGATATAAATTGTAAGGACAGCCACATGTCGTATCGGCTCTGCTCGTTTACCGTTAAAACCTCGTACTAGGCATTCACGACTCAGTTTCTCCACTCTGAGTCCGAAACGCTTACTAAGTAATATAACCATTAACGAATTAATAAAAACGTATCCATCTGCTCCAGTGTCACTAAGTGCTGAAATAGAAAATGAGCGTCCATTGTGCATTAGCTGTGTATTGAAAACTAAGCTATCTCTGGGACCCCTAATTAACTTCTGTAAATCCAGCGAGAAAAGTGACACCTTCCGTCCGCCTAGGAGGGAGACTTCGCCTAGGCAGGAGCTTTTCCCGAATCGGTATCGGCTTCTAGCTCCACGATCTCGTCCACACGGGGAGGGTTCATAACGGGAGTAGTTATCATAACAGCGAGAGTCGGTTTCTTCTTCGGATAATCACGGGTCATATGTCCATGTTCCTTGCAGTTAAAGCATCGTCCTTCTCTCATTAAGGTCTCTCTTTCAGAGGCAGATAGGCTCGGAGTGTACTCGCGCTTCACGCGGGGAGTGCTTGGCTGGTTCACGGTAGATGCACCTCCGGCGCCGGCAGCGGGGATCGTAGACCGGGTACGTGAGGAGGTCTTTGCTTCCTGCTGAAGACTGATCTCGTGAGCCATACTCTGGCAGCTCTGGGTGAATGCATCGAATGAAACGGTATTCTGGTTGACTGCCCACATAACTTGGCTCTGAAGCAGGTACGGGAGTTTCGAGTATAGGTCTCGCTTGCGGTTCTCGGCGATAACGACAGCCTCTTCGGCGAGCTGCATGAACTCCGCAAGGAAATCAGTGAAGCTATCCTTAGGTTTCATCTTAAGCTTATGGTATGCTGTGTATGCTTCTGCACGTCTGTTTAGGTTCGCGAAGACAGTCTTTAGGTGGAGGATAATATCCTTAGCGTCTGCGTACGGAAAGCTGGCATCGGAACTTATCCGGGGAGCAATGTGTAGCTGAGCTTTACCTTCACAACGACTCTGAACGTAGAGCTTACGATGGACAGGCAAAGGGTAGTGGTCAGCATTCGCCTTAAGCTTCTGACGAATCACAGTCTCCCAGGTTTCGAATCGGACTTCCTTTCCATCATTCAACATAGGTGCATCAGGCATTTTCGTAGACTTTCGGTTAGCAGCGGCCTCCACAATCGGTGCGCCGGTACGGGTATTCTGACTCTGAAGATTCACGAGACGGAAGGCAAGGTCGCCGCGCTCACGAATAGCAATATCTCGGTGGGTAATAGCTTCGTCACGCTCAATACGGAGTGATTCATTCACGATATCAGTCTCAGTTCTATCTGCCTTAAGCACGACAATCTCATCTTCGAGTTCTTGAACCAGATTCTGCAATCTCTGGTGGTCACGAGCGAGTTCAATGAATCTCTCTTTGCTCGGTGTCTGGCGCAGTCGTGCGCGGATCGGTTATTCTTCCTCTTCATCACGTTCACCAGTGTTAACTGGTCTCTGCGGATCGGGGGTCGGGGTACTCGGTTCGAGAGCAGCGACAGGCTCCTGCTCATGGCTTTCGGCATCTTCATCAGGCACGGCAGCGGGTTGCCTGCCACGGTTCATCGGTGGGTTTCGCTTTGATCTAACCATCCTGATTGGTCAGATTCTTCGGTTCGGGTTCGGGATTAACGTGGGTCAAGGTCTTGGCTGTACGGTGCCAAGGAACGAAAGTGGGGATGTGACAGGGCCGAAACCAATCAAATTGATGGTTTGTACAGCCGTACTGTCAATGAGAATTGAGAGTGATGCTTAGTATTATGTGACCTGCCAGTTCTTCAACAAAAAGAGTGCATTTTATTCAGAATACTAAGCATAGAGAGAGAAGGAAAAGAAAGAAAAAGATCTACTGGGCAGGATCCTTTGTGGGATCCTGTCGCAAACAAACAAGCCAAACTTGGCAGGCGGTCAATGACGGCAGAAAGTATTCGGCCGAAGAATCCAGATCGTCACACCATGGGCCCAATAATTATGACAGTCCTGCCTAGAGCTTAAATCGTACGAGATATCATCAATGGACGATACATGAATAATGGGACAAGCCTTCATCAACGGGATAAGCCTTCCTCAATGGTACAAGCCTTCATTAATGGGACAAGGCATCAATAATGGGATAAGCCATGAATATGCCATAGACCTAATAATTGTGACAGTCCTGCCTAGAGCTTAAATCGTACGAGACATCACTAATGGATGATACATGAATAATGGGACAAAGCATGAATATCCCATGGACCAAACAATCTTAACAGTCCTACCTGGAGCTTAAATTATACGAAAAAATCAATAATAGGATAACATATAAATATACTATGGATTAGAATATGAATCTATAAGTAATCCTAACTTAAAATAGATATTTTAAAATAAAGTTAAAGAGTGCTGGCCCTTCGTACGGTCGCACCCCATCAAAAATAATTCCGATTTTCAATCAGCCACTACACCTTTAGAACTTGATCAATTACTCTAAAATTTAGTGACCATAATCTTTATAGTATAGAATAGAACTTTATAAATTTTGAGCTTCATCCTTATACGAGAAGCTTTTCCAGTCTACTCACGAAAAGTATTCCAGTCTACTCATGGCCCCACTTTTATCCACCATAGTTAAGGTAAAGTCCTAATTCCAGTCTACTAGACTGCAACCACCCCCATGGGATAGAACTGTATGAATTTTCAGACTTATCAGAGCATGGGAAGTCAGGTATATTTACACCCCATATACCTGAGCTGGACCCACCTTCCGGGAGCCAATCAAACCGCCATAAATCCATATACCTGGCAGGTATATGTCTTGGAATAGAGTTAGGTATTTGTCCTGGAATAGAGTTAGAACCCGCATATTGATACCCTTTTCCTACCTGATTGACAGGCATCTACCCTGACTAGTGGATTATCCGTAACAACTAGATACATACGATGACCAATAGTGTTTATGAAAAGCCTTTGCATTCACATATCAGTGTAGGGAAACCTAATTAAATAGGGAAAACTTAGACCAAGGCCGCCGAAGAGTCACATCCCAACCGAAAGTCCAAATATCGCATGATACCTTTCCTAGGAATGCCAAATTCAGACATGAACGATGAGGCTTTTCTGATACTGCAGTGCCGTTCATATCACACACGAGGGATTTAAGGTTCGCCTTGAGCAAGACAATATTGTTTCGCAGCTTCAATAGAACCATCATAAAAAGCCTACCCACACCCCATCTCTGTTAGCCTATATATTCTCGGGTCATCTCTCAAAGCGAGGAGGATAAGCACATACACAAATTTCAGCACAAGTATCACCAGTACGAGAACATTCTTCACAAGAAAGACAACAAGGTTGACCAATAGTGCGGCCAAGTTCATCAAGAGCATCACCACAAGTAGCAAGATCTCCAGACTGTCTCTTTTCAACTCTGTTCTTATCCTGCCCATCGGCTTCAGATCCTGCTACCGCACAGGTAGCGAAGATAACTGCACCAAGCAAAGTCGATACCTTCATCTTGTTGATTGTTCTAGGTCTTTCTGGGTTTGGGGATTTGGGAAAGACAGTTGCAAAGAAGTGATAATCTGGCTGTAGTCCCTTCATCGCAGAGGGCAAGATACGAATATTATATGAAAGCCTAGCCCTGGTTATCGGCTAATATTCGAGAATGCTGTAAGGACTGGCGGTAAGCAATGCATAGATTAGTATGCCAATGAAAATGCCCTTGCATAAAATCCATGTTAGTCACCACACTAAACTTCGACAATCAATCATAGTCTATATTGATAGGTGAGATAGTTATGAGGGAGGACCGGCGAGATCATAGCATGAAATGTTCATTCCAATTCTTAAGGCTATACATGAAATACACGAGAAAGGATAAAACGCTATGCCAGTACGACAGTATGCAATAACACATCATATCGGAATAGACTTATGGCATCTAAATGCATTATCGAAGAATGAGGCGGAGCCGGTCACCTCTAAGACATATTGCGGTCAGGCCAGTATTGTTACACAAGTTCCACTATATTATTCACCTGCATAGCCCCCAGTGAGCTCGCACTGGGCGGCAGTCATCGCCAGACTGTTGGGACAATGGATGAGGCTTGCGTAAGTCAGGAACAAAGCCGCAACATCGGGAATTAACCCGAGTCGCCTATACGAAGAATCAAGTTGATTGCAAATCAAGTTAATCTTCTCGTATATAGCCTTGATTAATTCCTCCGTACTACAATTATATCTGTAAACTCATGTATAATTACGTCCACGTTTCAGGCTATTATTTGATTTATCAATGAGCCACTTTTGACTTCTTCATTGCCACATCTGGTGGAATGATATGTACGTAATTGTAATAAATGGGGAAATTCGATAGCTTGATTTTTATTGCATACAGTAGAGGCAACTAGGCGGTGTGTGGGTCTTCAGCTAGCCACACGGGAGATGCTGATGATCTTTGCGCCACTTCTCAGGTCTGGATCGTGACCCAGAGATGACAAAATAATATTATTGGCGCTCACTTGACTTGCATGGATGAGTAACTTAAGGTACGAAGGCACCGAAAGCCCTCAAATATCATAGTCTGACCCAGATCATATGTGGTCTGCATTAGTTTACGACTGTGATTCAAGAGCACCTTTCACTTGAATATTCATCGGGTAGCCATGACGTAATACCTATCCCAAGCTGCTCAATCCGTACCCGACTTATACTCGAGTCTTACCGCGATTGCGGTTGCAATTGGTGCCAGTGTACGCTTCATCTGTACCGTAACAAATACCATACTAAGTTTAAGACAATTACCTACGGGGATCTGCTATGAACGATAACAAAAATATATATTCAAAGAAATAATTAATTCAAGTTACCTGTACATCAACTTGATAGCTCACCAATGTATCCACCATAAAGAGGATCGTCATGCAGAGATATAGAGGTTTGACTGTATATTTAATACAACGGGATATTGAGGACGAAGTCACCCAGTGCTGTAACAAGCTGATCCACCAGATTTAATTACTAAAGCACGATCGGTTTTCATGCTCGAACTTCTCTCTTGCTCGCTGCTGATCCAACTCCTGCTTATACTGTGAAGGGACATGGCCATTTGCATCAACAAGCGCAAGGTCGGCTCCCAACTCTTCCAGCTTCCAGTACGTATGTGGCGACTGAAAAAAGTTATACTTGCAGAGCGCTGCAACGTGAGCAGGGGCTCTCGAATCAGAGTCCCTGGCGTTGATATCGGCCCCATGTTTTATAAGAACTTCTGTCACATCTGCGGCGTTGTGGTTAGTCGCTGCCGAGTGTAATGGCGTCGAGCCGTCTTTAGTTATTGCCTAGACGCCTGCCCCGTTCTCCACCAGCAGCCTTACGGTCTTAACAGAGCCGCTGGCGGCTGCTTCATGAGGCGCGGTATTACCAAGGCCGTCCCGGGCACTTAAATCTGCACCACTGTTAAAGAGGATCTTGCAGATCTCCGTGCGGCCATGTCGTGCGGCAACATGGAGTGGGATCAAAGACGAGGTCTCTAGTCTGACCCAAGGAATAACTCTTGCCAGTTCGGTGTTTACATCCGCCCCGCTCTTAATCAGTCCCTCCACCGTCTGAGTTTGACCCTTCCATATCGCGCCCATAAGGCCAGTGCTAAGTAGGCAGGGGTCCCGACTGATCTCATAGTGCCACGCCACTAACGCCAGCACAGAATCAAGGTGTCCGTGTTCTGCCTTTTTCCATATAAGGGCACAGATCTCAGATTCTCGCGTGGCATCATTCCATGGGCAGTACTTGATAAGGACATACACTATCTCCTCGTCATCCGCCCTGTCACAGCCCACAGAGAATACCCCCTCGTACGGAACTTTACCGATATTGCCATGCTTAACAGCGTATCCAAGAAGCGAATCTAGAACCGCCGCACTCCCACATGATGCCGCATTGTCGAAGACACCAGGATCATAAGCCCTCAATCTCATATCAAGGTACTCAACCGGTAGATGCGGCAGAATCAAATCTAGGGCTTTGGGGTTCCAACCGATCATTTGGGTAATATGTCGCCCCTCCCACCTGCCAACCATTGCCCCGTTCTCAAGCAAGATGTTAAAGGCCCCTTCATGGTGGTTATTTGCGGCCTCGAGCAATGGAGTTGTGTTTCCATACGCCCCTGAGTTATTCGGGTCCCACCCTTTGCGCAGCAGCTGACGCACGATCCCCTCATCTCCCCGTCTCGCAGCAACGTGGAGGGCAGTCATTTCACCCGCATTCGCCTCTCGCTTCTTCGGGGGTTTCGCCCCACGCTCAATCAAAAGTTATACCATCTCGCCCTGTCCATGCTCAACAGCGGCCAAGATTGCCGTCCACGTCTTGCAAATCCCGCACCTGCCCTTTCCGGTAAAACCAGCAGCGATACACTGCCCACATCTAGACTTCAAGTCCACCTTTAGACCCCGGTTCAGCATCAACTTGACCGTCGATAACCGCCCGTAGGCCGCCGCCTCATGCAGTGCGGTAATCCAGTATCCCTTCCTGTAGAACCACGGCCATATAGCGAGCCGCTGTTGACGGTTCAGGAGGACTCGCACAGTCTCGTCATGTCCATTCCGTGCCGCTAGGTGGACCGCCGTGGGTGGGCACGGTGTCCTCCGCGAGGCATGCTGATATGGATTATAGGCTCTGAGGTCAGCACGATACTCCTCCTCCGCCATCGCGATCCGTGCGCCGGCTTTGAGGAGTACCTTGATAAGCTCGGCGCGACCATTCTCTGTTGCGTTTCGAAGCGCAGTGTCTTTAAGCGACTGCTTCATGCTATTGTCATTGGTGCAGGCGCTGAGATGCGATACTACCACTGCGATATTCCCTTCGGCGGCGGCGAGCACGATGGAGTTATGGTCTCTTGTCGGTAACGGAAGGGCTTCCATAGATCGTCCGCTTGATTTCCACTGTTATTATTTTCTTGGGGATTGAATTTCTAGGAGTGAAAGATGGGAATGACCGCCTTTTATCGTATCGGGCCCGATCAATTCGTATTCCCAGGCTACTATTGCTCCGCCACATTCCTCGTATTTCCGGTTCAACAATTGGCTGCTTCCAAGAAAACACATGATCAAGGCGAACCCTGAATTGTTCCTATTTCGTCTATGCTTCGCTGTATGATGCCTCGGGAACCTATCAGCCTTTGTGGTATACTTGGCTTGCATAGGGTGGGTGGTGTGGTGCGGAGGCTGAGCGTGGAAACTGGGACCAAGCCGAGGGAATCGGGTACTAGACATGATAATATAACCTCATTTCTGGGACAGGGGGGGAGCGGGATGGGTTGTTAAGGATTGGCGTCTCAATCTCTGTGCTCGTTGGACCGAGATGACTTTTGACAGAAATCTGGCGTACGAACAATATATGGTAAAATGGCAGATATTGAAGACTATAACCAAAAATAACAAAACCCGTCTTTTCAACAATCTCAGCGGACATAGATGACTAACTGTATTATGCAATTTTGTACGGCATGCCGGGTACCAAGTGTCGCATGATTTTCCGGGTAAAAATGCCCCATTCCAACCAGGTAATTCGATCTCAGCATTTGACACTATACACTTCACATGGACAGTTTACACCTCACACCGCTATCAACCCAAACTGCAGGGCGGCTAGGCCAGCGTGTCCCGGATCAACCAGAACAAACCCAACTCTTGCCAGTGCAAGCCGGTAATTCTACGTCCACGCAAATTGTTACACTTAATTTCGAAAACACATCACAGCAATACATAGAATCAGGATATAAGAGACTAAAGCTGCTAGTTATTGTACGGTTAGCAACATCGGTGACGGAGGTTTTCCCCTGGAAAAAAAAGATAAAAGAGATCTGTCAGCGACGCAAGGAATGCAAAGGGAAAGGGAAAAGGAAAGACCAACTTTGTTGCCGAATGAATTTTTGGCCTGGGTGATACCTGGCGGTATGGGTTTATTAATTGATGCGATGTCGCCACAGATCGTGTAAAAAATGGTCCCATTGCCTGGAAGACCCCACGACTCAGAAGCATTATGAAGAATGGTTGACTGCCAATACGGTGGCAGTAGCATAATCCCCATCATGACTGATCGAGAGTTGTGCCTCTTGTGCTTTCAGTAGTGGCTGATCTCCATCCTCCTTGCTTGTATCAGAAGTTGCAGGTAGTGGTGCATGTAAAACCAGGACTGGCTTCTTCTTCCCATGGACGGTCAACACTTCAGCTTGATGCCAACCGAGTCGGTGGGGAGATAATGCCTTCATGGCAGCCTCTTTGGCTGCGAACCTAGTGGGCTTCAGTCCACTCTCTCGAAACTTGCAAAAGAGATTTAGCTAGTGAGATAAGGCAGCTTACCGTCCAGCCACCCATTCTGATAGCTTCCAGAGCTTTCTCTCGTATTGGGAGTGTTGCAGCTGTTTATCGATACCGGCCCCATCATCGCCATTTCCCTCCATACATGTCTTGGATGCGATCTTCTCTCTCAGTTGCAACACCTCGTCATACCGCTCTTGAAAAAATGGCAATTCTCTCTGACTGAAAATTCGATGGCTGAATCTGTCAACTTGATTCTGACGTGTATCCGTCAGAAGTCGTTGGATTCTGGGAATATGACATAAGTCGGTACCGATACTTAGTGGGTACGGGAAAGGAAGGGAATCTCCGGATACCATCTTTGTTTTCTGGAAGATGGGATTGCGTTATAAGATAAGACTGAACAAGGAACCAGCGTAACCCTATTTATATAGTAAGCCATGTTACGTTATAGAACTGGTCGAGCATGCTCGGCTCGCTTGACGATCTTCTTTCTAGCACTCGGGACTTGTATCCACAATTAACCCCTCCATCTCTCTACTTTAGCCCAAAATTTGACAACCACATAGAAAATGGCGAGATACATGTACATTCTTTAAACAAAAACAGTTATCGGGCAGTTGTATACTATTTTACTCAGTATGATTGTCTTTGTATTCTGTATCTCAACGGAGCATTTCTTGTTTAAGGAGGCTCCAAAATCTGGTTACTGGTTGACTCCAAGGCAAATCCTCGATTATTTTAGATTGGCTTCTATATAATTTATAGCTTCTTGAACTATAATATCGTTAGTCGTTCCACATTTCATATTTTTCACCAACGCTCCATTTTCCTACCGGTAGCGATCTTCTCAGCGTCTTCATCTGGGATCTCGATATCAAACTCCTATACTTCTTGTTAGCATGTAGCCGCAGTGACCAATATTGAATTAACATTTCACCTCTTCAAGAGCCATGACCAGCTCCACTGTATCCAGAGAATCGGCTCCGAGGTCATCCACAAATTTTTTCGTTCCTGTTATCTACAGGTAAGGAGTTAGACGGTGATGAAGATAGCTTCTTTTATATGAAGGTTTTGTGAAAGTTACCTCTTCCTTCTTCACATCTAGCTGCTCTGAAATTATCTTCTTTGCTCTTTCCGTCACGGACATGTTTAGAGCTGGGTGGCAAATGTGCGATGGTAACGTAAAATTGTTCAAAAGGTAGAAAAAAACATTCAAACTATGGCAATAGCAGTGGTTTATACATTGCTACGCGTGCTATGTGATATTACCTATCACAAGGGCTATGATCATAGCAACCGTTCAGTCGCCGATCTTTAGCCAAACTTTCCATAGCTATACGCAAGGGTCGCATGTAAACCGTCTCTCCTAGAAGTGATCGTCGCGAAGGCTCCCTGAACTCTCATGTAGGGTCTACTCTACCCACTATCGGATACTACATACGGTAAAATGACCTCAAGTATCAGATACGCTACATTCATCCATCCACCGTTTTAAATAGAATACTGTACATACCTACACGGAGATATTCTACTATGGGCTATACAATGAGGAAGATCCACCTGTTGCTGTGATAGATCGATCATTCATCCCTTTCGGGCCTTTTTTTGCATATATTTCCTTTAAGACACTGATAATATTCAGATCAGTTTCCGTCAAGCAAAAGGTGAACTGTCAACTCTGCGGGGTTTCACCTAACTAAGGGTTTTTCATGATTTAAACCGTTAGTCTCATTGGTTTGTTGCTAATAACTTCCTAATCTAGTGAGAGACAGGTTACAGTATGCCTTGTCCATAATGGTCGCTCTTAAGAGGTTGGCTTGAATGCTGCTTCCCCACCGTGATGCTCCACTCTGTAGACTTACGTCATACTTTGTAACCTAGTGGCTGGCTGAAGCTGCAGCTACCAGGCTGCGTACTTTAATTGGGTATTGGTACATGCAGTTAAGATTGTCAGTGTATGTGTTCGTTATTATAAGTGTTCTTGATAGGCGGATAATAAGTCATGCCAAAGCAAAGACAAAGTCAATTGAAATATCCTAGTAACTTTAGTAAAAGAAATCAAACGAGATTGTTATTTAGTGTCTTCTGAAATAAATTCCCCATTAAAATCTATAAAAGATCAAGTAATACAAACGCCTCCTTCTTATACTTTCAAGTTGCAAGCTAAGAACTCGGGTACGTTGCTTATTAAGCCCTTTGTAATAGTAATTCAAATCTCTTTATATTTCCACCGGTCTTAATTTAGGCATGGAGGAAATAATCAGGTATCCAGGCACCAAAATTACCTAAAAAAGGGGTTTTGTCGCATGGCACCTATACCGCTGCGTGTCCGAGACATTTCCCCACTTTTGGGGTCTTGCGACAAACAATAATTATCTATGATTGGCCATCCCTGGAGAACCTGGTCGCACTCGTCCTAAGCTCCGCGGATGAAAAAAACACCACTTTGAAAAGTTTATAAGACACATGTGAGCTCAAATTCCTAATCTGCATGTAACGTCTACGGTCGAAGATGTATACATCCAGAAGCACCAATGAATGGATCTTCGGTGGGCTGATGGCCACCCAGGCACTCATAATCCTCGCCATTGAAATGTGAGTCTCAGCCCCCGTGGAGGCCTGGGACTCGTCTTAACAGGACCTCAGCTTTATCCTTGTGGAATGGCAACTATGGATGCGCCCACAGGCCATTCAAATCACCCCCTCATACATCGTCCCTGTTGACGCAGCAATCGTATGGTTTGCCTGCATCTATGAATTTTTACTCTCTGTCGACGCTATGCGTCACAAGAACAACATCCTACTATTCGGGATCTGCGTCAGTAATGTTTACGCCATGGCCTTCGCGGCCATGCAGTATCCGGCCATGAAAGGCTTCTGCGAATCCATGCCTAATCAGCGGGCCATGTATGATATACCTCTGGTGGACATCAGTAGAAACATCTGGCCGCAAATCCGTGGCCCTCAACTTGCAGTTCCGATCCTCATCGGGCTTTGCACCCTTGGAACATGGTGGTTGGCCTTCCAACTACACAAACAGTATGCCTGGTCCATCTACCGAAGTGTGCAGGGTGATTCACGTATAAGAGCTCGGTATCTCGCCTATGAAGTAAGTGCGTGATCTTTACTTGTGTCTTTAGCTGCTAACTTAGTTATAGATTTATGTGGTTCTTGTCAAATTCGGCGCCTTCTTCATTATCTGCTTCGTTCTCCATTATGGCTTGATCGATGTCCACTTCGTCGAGCCAGAATTTGGCTTAACCATGTCAATTCCACCAACCCTAACAGTCGTAATAGTCTGCGGGGTATACTTTATCCGCAAGGAGCACAAACCATTGATGATATTAGTCATTGTAAGTAGCAATTCCATTGGCTTAATCCGAGTCTCGCTAACAGAGACAGGTCTGCCATTTGGCCATAATTGCCTATCTACTTTCCCGGATCATTGTTCTTTTTGGAAATGGTCAACTTGCCCGAACTCCAACCAGGGATATGATGCTTCTCTTCGCCTTTGCATCCTTGATCTTCACCTTCCTCTCTCTTGCATGTGGAGTCAGGTGCTTCATGAACTTTGAGTATGGACTAAAGCCTATTTTGGCTGGCAAACCTCATTCGGTTCGGGCGTCTTATGACTTTCATACCATCTCCAGACACACTCCTATGCCGGATGATATCTCATGTCGCCGGTTGTCTCTTGCTTAGGCCAGAAACTAGGCTATGCTGTACATTGTATTTATTAATACCTAATTAATCAATTCTTGCACAAGCGCATGTGTTTTAAAATAGGGAATATTCACTCGGTATTTCGGTAATGCAAATAATCCATCTGATGATAATGATTATAATAAATCCATTTGCCCGATGTAGCTCGCTCTAAGTAATTGCTGTTATGTGGGAGTACTGTCAGGCCCGCCGACAGCTGAAAAGCGGTTACCAGCCCACTGGGCGACGTTTCGGGAACCTCGTTGGAGTTTCTGATCGGTCGACCTCGAACGAAAAATGTAAATACCTAGCACAAATGAATACAGGGATGTAAATAAGACAAACATAAGGAAGGCTAAGACGAACGTCATTTATCCTTGGGTTACCTGGCTGTGAGAAGATGGCAGCCCGGAAGGCTTCTGCCTTTTGCTTAATTGTTTCCGCGAGGGCTCTAGGTGCTTGGGATTAGTCTTCCACACAACCCGGACCAGGACCCAACCCAGGACCCAGGCTCCCACCCACCGGCCCGTCTATAGACAATGTCTATTCCAGAACACATCTAAGTAGTAAAAGGATAGGCGCTATATCACAGTCATCAGAATACCAACTGTGAAGCCCTGGTCCTTCGATAGGTGTTAGCACCAAAGCCGGGTCCAGCCCACGAGTGAGGCTTCGCACCTTTACGAGAAGGTCGAATCACATTTTCAGCTCTTCTGGCTCCACTGGCAGCATCACTTCGCTAACAGTCGCAGCTTGAACCTAGCATACGTTACGATACGTGGAAGTCTTAATTGTGCAAACCGAAACTTAGGCCTTAACATCTGATATGAAAATGCGCACGAGGATTGATATGTACTAGCATCTTATGCTTGCTGTTAGATAATTCCACCTCACATTGTTGGTTTGCTTGGAGACTCAGCGGTCCTTTTTCCAGACAGCAGGGGTACAAATACCCGTGTTTCTCCATAGGTTGAATCGCAATGATTTTATTTTCTCTTCCGCCCCTTCATTAGTAGCCAGAATGCTTCAAACCGGAGAAACATTGCACAAATTCAGCTAGTATGTTAATTTCCTGAGTATTAAGCTTTGCTAATCCTCGCATTAAAAACAAAAGGTCAGCAAAAGACTTCGGGATTCGAGTCAATGTCGTAGAAACTCCAACACTATTACTCCAGGCCTCAACAAGCAGTCACAGGTCCTCTGCCAGCTCTACCACGGGACCTGTAAATTTCTTCCTTCCTCCTAAGAGATAATAATAAAGCCCTCCGATCAACATCCATCCCATTGTCACCACGATACAATAATTCATATTTTCCGGTGTGACCGGCTGCACTGTTGGGAAAGTACTAAACACCATTGCTATGACGAGCCAAATGATGGCAACAATGTTCACGATAGGCCCCCATCGTGGCCCTAGGCTGAACGATCCCGATCGGAGTCCACTGACAGTCGGTACTGATCTTCGTCGACCATATATCAACATGAATACAATCGGAGAAAGATATGAGGCATACATTCCCAAAATGGCCATAGACAATACCGCGTTGAAGGCGGTTGAGCTGCCGAGATAGATCAACCCGAGCAGCATTTGGAGAAAGCCAACTGCTATCACCATGCGCACCGGAACTTTCAATGTGGTGCTCACTTCTGAGAAGAATACCGACCATGGCAAACCATTGTCCCGTGCAAATGCCCAAGCTGTACGGCTAGTAGATGTCACACACGCAGCATTTGCGGCCATTGCAATCAAGGTGATACATAGGGCTAGCACGGAGGCACCAGCCGGGGAGCCAGTAATGTTTAAAAAGAGCTGCATGAATGGAAATCCCGTCTTGGACTGGAGAAGGGACTCGATATCCCCCAGGGAGAATAGTAGCACGATTGCATACACCAGGCCAATCACTCCGTTGATAATGACACTTCCTAACATGGCCAATGGTACATTACGAGATGGCTTTGGCATTTCTTCGCTTAAATGGCACGCTGCATCATATCTGGAATAAAAAATCAGTTTTCAGTCCACTGCAAATTTATAGGACAGTCCTACCCGAGGAAAGGATATACAGTGCTCAGTAGTCCTACTAACCAAGAAACCCCATCATTGTCCCATCCACTGGTGTTGGAGAATTCGGCGAAGACGTAACTTGCAGAGTGCTTCTCGGACATTGCCCCCATAACGGCAACGATTACGAGAAATCCAACAACGTGTAATACACCTGTGATTGACTCAGAATCTGTTTTTTTTTTTTTCTTTTCTCGTGTTCCTCTTACCGGCTGTTGTATTGGTGTGAGGCAAGACCTTGGACCCCCAAATATTCAGGGCGGTTGAATAGGCTAATATTAGCCAATAGAAAAGCATCCCTTGCCATCTATTTGGGGTATATGAGTCGAGATGATTCAAGGTGATGAGGGCCTGTAGCTGCAAGCCTGCTGCGAAGGCTGCGGAAGCGGAAAACACCAACTGTCCTCCAATTGAAATCCAGCCGGTAAACCAGGATGCAGTAACGCGGTACGTCATTGGTGTGAGACAATGGACCCAGTGGTATTGTCCTAATAGTGTTAGCATGGGGGCATCACTTGGGTACGTTGAATGTTGATCTTACCGCCAGCCGTAGGGTAGATGGAGGCAATTTCGCTCAACGACAAGACTATGAACATTGTACCAATCATGGTTATGACACTAAATTGGCCCTGCCATCAGCTTTGCGGTATAAGAGTGTCATCTTTTGGGTGGGCTTACTAGTTATAAAATAAGCATGGTGCTCCGCCGTTGGTTAGAGCCGCAGTGACAACCGAGGATAAGGCCTCCCATGTGGCCATTAGGGAGATTTGGAGACAAACAATTGACCATAAGGAGAAACCTCGACGGAGCTCTTGGACATGACCAAGAGCTGCAAGTTGATCTTCATCGCTAATGTGTTTCTCTGGAATGGGCACTTTGGTCTCCGATGTGGAATCCATACTCCGCACTTGGGGGTTGCAGATGATAGAAAATAGAAATATTTGGTACGAGTCCAAGGGGGAGGGGGAAACTGTCTGTCATTTCCTTCCGGGGTCTATATGTACTCTCGAAAGGCCACAAGAGGGGAAATGACGGGATATCGTAAACACAATACTCGTACACGGCGATGATCTGCATTACTTATCGACCACATAGATATGTAGAAGGAAAACAAGCTCGTATTACTTAGTTATCTTTTTCATAGATATCATTTAGTATGTAATTTTCCCCGCATTTTGTGGATTTTATGTCCGTTGTCTATCATCACGGAACCATTTCCGAATTTGCAAGGAACCTCCCGAGATTCCGAGCATTCCGGGATTCCGATGTATAATATAAGTTGAGCTCCCAACCTCGGCCCTCCAGGAACAATTACATTTGTCCAGTCATGCCTCACCCACTCAGTATTCTCTCCATCGAGGAAATCAATTTGGCCCGCGATGTGGTCAAATCGATTCACCCAAATGTCGTGATCGACTTTCGGGAGATCTTCCTACAAGAACCACCTAAAGCTCAGCTCCAGGAATTTCTAGCGATCGAACATGCCGGTCGCTTGAGCCCAACCACCCCGCGACCTCCACGTCTCGCTCTGTGCCAATACGATGTGATCGGAGCGGATCGGATTCCTCAATTCCATGAATCTGTGATCGATGTGGTTTCACAGTCACGAGTGAAACACACAGTGGTGGGGAAGGAACATCATGCCAGTTTGACTCTGTAAGGGAGGGGACAAATGAAGCTTCAGGATCAGTTTACTAACGATTGACTAGGAGCGAATTTGATGTGCTCGTCGATCAATGTATGAAATCACCGTTGTTTCAGAAAGCACTGTCGGAATTCGATCTCCCTGAAGGTTTCGATGTTGTCATTGAACCATGGCCGTACGGTGGCTTGGATTACACCGATGAAAATCGTCGCTTTTTCCAAGGCCTTTGTTTCGCTCAGGACAAACGATCTGGGAATGAAGACTCTAATTTTTATTCTTTCCCCTTGCCCATCATCCCCGTGATGGACGCCCACACCCAGGAGATCATCCGGGTAGACCGACCCGCGACAGGCGGCAAAGGTGATGGGCTACTTGAACAGACCTTCAAGCGGGACATCATTGGTCACTGCAAGCCCTCCGAATACGTGCCAGAGCTGATGCCCGAGGGGGTTCGCAAGGATCTCAAACCACTGAATGTGGTCCAACCTGAGGGTCCGTCCTTCCGAGTCACCAACGAGTCTCTCGTAGAATGGCAGAAGTGGCGGTTCCGTGTTGCATTCAATCCCCGAGAGGGCGCGACGATTCATGATGTCTCGTACGATGGCCGTAGTGTGATGCACCGACTAGCCATCAGCGAAATGGTATGCCCTCAAAACCCGGATCGCCCCCCTAAGCTATCAACTAATTGCATCGCTTAGACTGTCCCTTATGCTGACCCTCGACCCCCTTTCCACCGGAAACAAGCGTTTGATTTTGGCGATGGAGGCGGCGGGAACATGGCGAACAACCTGTCGCTCGGCTGCGACTGTCTCGGTGTCATTAAATATTTCGATGCCATTATCACTCAAGCAGACGGTACCGCCCAGACTCTTCCGAACGCGATTTGTCTCCACGAGCAAGACAATGGGATTGGCTGGAAGCATTCCAACTGGCGGACCGGTCGCGCAGTTGTCACACGGAATCGGGAACTTGTTGTCCAGTTTATCATCACACTGGCCAACTATGAATACGTTTTCGCCTATAAATTCGATCAGTCAGCTGGCATTACAGTCGAAGCACGCGCAACCGGTATCTTGAATGTGGTCAATATCGATGCTGGTAAGGTCAGTGAGTACGGAAATGTAGTGAGCGGTGGTGTTCTCGCTCAAAACCACCAGCACATTTTCAATGTACGAATTGATCCAGCCATCGACGGCCCCAACAACTCTGTCGTAGTGGAGGAATCTCATCCAGTCCCAATGAATACGGTCACCAACCCCAACGGGAATTTCTATCAAATCACCAAGCAGACCGTCGAGCGTGCATCTTGGATCGATGCCGCTCCGCAGCTCAATCGGACGATCAAGATGATCAATCCTCACATAAATAATCCTGTCAGTGGAAACCCCGTGGGGTATAAATTCATTCCGCTGGCCACCCAGACTCTACTAGCCGATCCGGCATCGGTGCAGGCGCGCCGGGCTCAATTTGCTCAACACCACGTTTGGGTCACCAAGTATCGCGATGGGGAGCTCTATGCTGGAGGTCGTTATACGTTACAGAGTCAAACTGAAGTTGAAGGCGTCTCGGATGCTGTTCTTCGGGGTGACTCTGTTGTCGACACTGACGTGGTGGTTTGGAATTCCTTTGGCATTACCCACAATCCTCGTGTAGAAGATTGGCCCGTGATGTATGTTGTCTTTTCACTTTCTTTTTTTGCCTCATACTAACCTATTATAGGCCCGTCGAGATTTTCCAACTCATGATCAAGCCTGCGGACTTTTTTGTCGCCAACCCGTCGCTCGATGTCCCTTCGAACAAGAATGTATCTTCACGGCTAGCTGACTCGGAATGCTGCCGGAAGTCGCACATTTAATAAGAGAGAGAGAAGCGTTATGAGAGAAGCACTGTATCATAGCAACTTATTATGAAGATGTATATTTCGAAGACGAAAAGGATTCAAATTTTCCTTGTAAGAAACTCGAATTATAATTTTCCCCCTGTGTCCATATGAAGGGGAAAAAAAAGGTCTAAAAGATATTTAACTAAGACTATTGAACTTTGAATATATAGAGTACATTTCATCCTCCAAGGGTGGCTCTCGGTTTATCTTTCCGCGTTCCGAGCTTTCCCTTCGCAACTCCCCCGAGATGGGTTCCCAATCTCCACGGGATTCTCGAAAAAGGGCTAAATATACCCAAGTTGCTTGGTGAGTCTGCTTAACCTTGATTCAACTGTTGATACTGACCGCCCTAGCAATGAATGCAAACGACGCAAGCTGAAATGTAGTGGTGGTTTGGTCTGTGTGAGATGTTCTCGTGATCAGATCCCTTGTGTCTACAATCGCCCCCCTAGCACGTCGCAGGAGACTGACCCTAAGGATGAAAGGTATGTTTCCTCCTGCCTTTCCCTAAAAATGACACTAACTTGAGCCAGAGAGAATTCCCGATTTCAAGCTGTGGACAAACAATTGGAGACACTGCGGCGGGAAATGCGGACCCTTTCCGCCCGCGTTCATGAGCTTGAACCTCCCGGTCCATCCCCACCCACAGGGAGTCTGCACCGTATTTTAGATGCTCCTAGGTCCCCGACGTATGTCGGACCCACGAGTGCGGAGTTTGGGCTCACTCGACCTCGAAGCTCTTTATCCCAAGCTGCGAGCATTGACGATCGCGGTGAGGAACTTGACCTATCAACAACTGCCCCCAGTCCTGCGCCGTCGGAAGGAGGCGAAATTGCTCATCTTGGGCTCCCCAAAGGTGTGGATGAAACATTGCGCTTAGTGCAAGTCTACGAGGACACCGTCGGTGTGATGTACCCATGTATCGACTTGGATGGAGTGCGAGCATATGTCCTCGAGTTCTACCGCTCCCGTGATTCAGCCACTGCATCTTCATCTGTATTGACAGCCTCGGATCAGGATTGGTTCTCTGCGCGCGATGTCCAGGTCCTGAAGATTCTGTTGGCGACCGCTCTACTAGCCGAATCCCACGGTCGCAGTGAGCGTGCTGCCCAGCTGGCCGACAGTGTGGAAGATCGCTTCGCTAGCCGACTGAAAATTGCCGAGGTTGATATGAAAGAAATTCTCATTTTGACTCTGTTGGTGTGTATCTTATATCTTTTTTGTGTTCCCTACTAACTGACGCAGTCGATCTTTCACTCTTATCGCGATGATGAAGTCATCGCCGGGCGTTTGATTGGCATGGCGGTTCGAGGGAGTACAGAGCTGGGTCTTCATCGCCAAGAAACGTGGCAAAAGACAGGAGGCGTTTTCCCGGGCGAATTGGAATGGACATGGGCAAGCCGACTGTTCTGGTGCATCTATGTGTTAGATCGCAAGTGTGCCTTTGGCACGGGTTTGCCGTTCGCCATTCAAGATTCTGATATTGACACCGACTTGCCCGAGCCAGGTCACTCTACGCCGTATCTGACTTGCATGATCTCTCACGCGCGCCTGAGTACAAAGATCTGGGGCCTGGTCGTTGGATGGCCCAACCGATCACAAGCGGCCACCTCCGATGGTTGCGCTTATTTGGACGCTCAGGTTCAGCAATGGATCCATTCCATTCCGAGTGAGTTGCGCTTTGATCCAACATGGCGCTCTCCCGCTGGAACAGAGCACACCGATCGAGCTATGATGCTTCAAGTTCTTCTTGCTCTACAGGCAAATCAGCTTCGGATTCTTGTGTACCGACAAAACCTACTCAGCGATGAGCGGATAGCGGACAACGTGACCGGTGCGTCGACCGCCGTGGAAACGGCGAAGAGCACTGTTCATATGCTGGACTATTTCAGCCGTGTCTCCAATATATATTTCCAGCGCCCGGAACCATTCAACTATTTTCTCTTATCTGCCCTTGCTGCCCTCTTCTTAGCCGTTTTGCATGCCCCGGCGCGTTTCAGCCATGCTTGCCGACCCGAATTTTATACAGCTGTGGACATGGTTCGCCGGTCAGCAACCCGTGCCCGTACTTCTCGGAGGCTGCAAAAGATTCTTCACGGTTTGAAACGCATTCGCTTGAATCTTAGGTGGGACAGTGGGCGACAATCATCTATTAGAGGTCATCCCCTAAACCCCAAGCAAGAGAAAGAGCCATCTGAGCTTCAGCCGCATGCTAGATCCAAGTTGAGCTCGACCTACGGTATATGGGATACAACGCCAGGATCAACCACAATAGAGTCTGCTGCTGCGCATTGTACCCCCGGCCTCCATGAAACATCTGGGGCGACTACTCCTCAGCTCTCGTCTAACGCTTTCTGGCCAATGTCACCCGGGATGGTAGCTGGTCCTGAATCCAATGTCTGCGAAGACTTGAGCAGCTTCTTCGAGATTGCAGGTGGATTCTACTTTGACCCTCAAATCGGTTCGGACAGTGCCACCGGAGCAAATGTGGGGTTAACCCCTCCAGGTGAGACGCGGTCGCCCCATGAGCTGGATGCCTTTCATGCCGAGGATGAGGCCTTGACACGAGTCATGGCTGGTTTGTTGTGAACATTTATGCATTTAACCAAACTGAAACTTGACGACCGACTGTAACTAGGTTATTCGACAAGAGATATTCTCTGGGCATTTGCACTTTTGCCTAATTGACAAAAGGATTACGGAGTATTGTACTTGGCATTCCCCGGAACTTGGCGTGCTTTGGTTGCATGGTGGCGCCCATAGGTTTCGGGAATTTCCACCAGTCGGGGCTTTAATTCTTGCTAGTTCATTTCCTGAAGAATTGTTAAGCTCCGTCAAAACTGCTTTTCTCCTCGCTTCTGTGTTAGATGCAAATATACTCGCTGAAGACTACCCGCGTCAAACGATCCGAATTTCCGCCAATAGTTCATGCATGGCATCGCCAATGTATATAAATAACTACGACGGCCCTCTTCGCTCAGTATACAAATCACCTCCATGCATTTTGGTAACATCGTCAAGCCGGTGCTGTTTGCAGCCCTCGTGCAAGGATATGCAAACCCTGGCAGTTGTTCAGGGGCTTGTGTCGTTCATGACCCGACCTTGATACAGAGATCATCGGACAATCTTTATTTCCGATTTTCTACCGGCAACAAGATTTCCTATGCAAGTGCCTCGTCTATCAAAGGCCCGTGGACTACCATTGGGTCCATGTTGCCCGGTGGATCATCTATTGATCTCGCCGGAAATGATGATCTGTGGGTAAGGATAATCCTTCTGCGAGAAACGAACATACTCGATGCTCACTTTTCTGTCAGGCCCCCGATGCCCACTTTGTGAATGGTCTTTACTATGTTTATTACTCTGTGTCAACTTTTGGTTCACAGAATTCGGCCCTTGGACTAGCCACATCTGCAACCATGGAGTCTGGCTCCTGGACTGACCGTGGAAGAACTGGTATTGCGTCGTCATCTACTAGTGCGTACAATGCTATTGACGGTAATTTGCTTAAAGCTGGTGACACTTACTACATGAATTTTGGCTCCTTTTGGCACGATATCTACCAGGCTCCAATGAGCTCAGATGCCACTAAAGTCGCATCTTCGTCCTACAATCTGGCGTATGACTCCTCTGGAACACATGCTGTGGAGGGTGCCTACATGTATCAATATGGAAACTACTACTATCTCTTTTTCTCTGCCGGTATCTGTTGTGGCTATGACACATCTCGCCCCGCCAGCGGAGCGGAATACAAGATCAAGGTCTGCCGATCGACCTCACCTACTACCGGATTTGTATTTTACCCTAGATTTTCGCTGCTTTGGACACTTGCGCTAACCATCCACTAAAGGTCGATAAAGCGGGTACCGCTTGTATCAGCGGAGGTGGCACAGTTGTTCTAGAAAGTCACGGCACAGTCTATGGTCCTGGTGGACAGTAAGTTCTCAAACTAGATCGTACTGCAAACTCGAATATTGTTAACATTTCTCAGGGGCGTGTATACTGATCCTAGCCTCGGCCCAGTGCTTTACTACCACTATGTTGACACCACTGTAGGCTATTCTGATAGCCAGAAACTCTTTGGGTGGAATCAGATCGATTTCTCAAGCGGATGGCCCGTGGTTTAAATTTACATACGTCAAGCAAATGCGTTGAGGTTCTTCATACGATCCAATCCAATTACTTTCATCTAGTACGGCAGGCTTTGGGGTCCATCGCACCAACACGTACACAAGCCCTGATGGGCATGAGATTATTTCTCCATTATAAAGCGGATAGTTTATGAACTCGATATATGCGCTACTCTAAGACACATATCTAAATCGCTCGTACATTCCGTGGAGAAATTCTAGCGCGGCATCATACCCACTTTGTTATTATCTTTCTAGGGCCGCTTAGAGGGACCTTTGTAGGCTATCTATAATATAACGGCTATCTCTCCCCAAGTATTATTACCAGGGCACCTTTGATACGAGCGATTTCTAGGTCTTTAAGAGACTACATACATGTATGTATAAATGTTGATGGCAGCTGGTTAGCCTTCTGTCAGCAAAGCCCCTGGTTGGCGCGATGGACCCCAAAGCCTGCCATAATCCAGACTCAGAGTAAATTATCTCTTCTACTATCTTAGACGGCACTAATTTATGGTGGGTTTATGATTTATATCTCATGGTTCTAGACTCGATTTAAAGACTGAATAATATATAGTATGAAGATAAGCCGCACTCGGCCGACTGGTGGACTGGTGCCCCAGCCGTCCATCTACAAAATCCCATTTTCTGCTCATCAAGACTATTCTCAGCACTTTGTGAATTTCATTTCCCATGGCGAAATCACTTAAGCTACGTGCCGAAGATCCGGTGAAATACAATGTAGGATGGAGACGCATCGTGCGAAATTTCAGTCCGTCGTATGTTCTTCCCTTTTTAGAGACTACATGTAGGTGCTGACTTTTAGGTACAGATGGTTTGCAATCACTATGGGCACTGGCATTGTTTCAGTGTTGATGATATCGGTCCCTTTTGATGCTCCAGTGCTATATTACTTGTCGATTGTCTTCTTCCTACTCAATATCGTGTTCTTTATTCTAGCTTCCGTTACATCTGTTCTCCGATACACCTTATATCCTGAAATATGGAACGTGATGATCCAGGATCCCATCAATTCACTGTTTTTGGCGACAATCCCAATGGGGTTTGCGACCCTCATCGAGATGTGGGTGTTCGTTTGCGTGCCCGTCTGGGGAGAATGGGCCAAAACAGTTGTATGGGTTTTATGGATGATAGATGTGGTAGCTGCGGCTTCTGTGACTCTGTCTATGTCCTTCATCTTGTCAGTATACAGTCCTGCAAAAACCAATGTTACCAATGTTTGGGATACTGACATCTGATTAGGATATCTCAGCGCTACATCACCTCCCTAGACAGGATAACTGCAATTCAATTATTGCCAATCGCAGCAACTATTGTGGCGGCGGGTGCTGGCGCAGAAGTTGCTATTATCTTACCAGACAAACCACATGCGCTAGGAACGCTTCTCGTCTCGTTCATTCTCTGGGGTATGGGCACTCCGTTGGCAATTGCGGTGTTGGTAATCTATTATCAGCGGCTTGCAGTGCATAAGCTTCCACCGAGGGAAATAGTTGTGAGCTGTTTTCTACCCCTGGGGCCTCTTGGCTTTGGTGGGTTCGGGTGAGCATATTTTTTGATTTTCCCGGAGACTCTAGCTAATATGCTGGTAGCATCCTTTATATCGGAAAAGTAGCACGCGTGCTATTACAGGATTCCCAATTCCTGGACCCTATCACGGGCCAGATGGCATACGTCTTAGGCGTCTTTATATCCCTGCTCATGTGGAGCTTCGGCTTGATTTGGCTCGTGTTCGCCCTAGCTACCGTTCTATACAGGTCTCCCTTTCCTTTTAATATGGGTTGGTGGGGATTTACCTTCCCGCTTGGGGTGTATGCCGCCAACACGATGCAACTGGGCATTGAAATGGACATCATGTTCTTTAAAGTTCTCGGTACCGTATGTCCACCGAGCTTTCTCATTTTATGTCCTCCAAAATGATGCTAACTTGACTACGAAGGCCTTCAGTGGTGCTGTTTTGTTATTGTGGATGTTGGTTGCATCACGAACTGCAAATGGGGCATGGCACGGAACCCTGTTTTATGCCCCATGCTTACAAAACTTGGCCTCGAAGGGAGAGGGGGCTGAGCGAGATCAAGATCAACATCGCGCGTAAAATGGAAATGATTGCTTCCCTCATTACCAAGCCTTGAAACACTCCACCAATCCCATGTGTGTGCTCAGGTGTGATGCATCTCGCCGGATAGCCCCGCTGACAGCGTCTTCTATCACGGCCAATAGAGGCAAAGCCACGTACGAAGTAATCTGCACAAGGCAATTTTTACCGAAATCGATCTTTTAATTTGATTGGTTCCATCTAGTCTAATTACCTTTTACTTCCAATGTCTTCATATACGCCAAGCACTGCCTATCAGGTGAGGAGCATCCTTAGCCTGTCAGCCTCGTGTTATTCACTTTTATCCCTCTCTTTTTCTTCCGTTTTGAACCCAACGACCATTTATTGACCTTTCCAAATAGCTCTTTCACGGTAGCGCTTCGGTATTTAGAATGGTAAGGCCTGGGTTCTATCTATACCTATGTCATGGCACTCTAAACAAATTCTAGGACGCGGGGGAGTATGAGTTTCCATTTTTGCAGGAGGTCTTTTCTCCTCTTGAATCGCATAAGGTCGAGTATGTAAGCTTTGATCTACCCAAAGAAACATTCTAAGAGTTCTTCAGTTTTGTCTTCGTACATGGCCTGAACCCAAGTGGTCGAAACGATCATCCTTTCCAGACATGGACGCATAGCAATGGCAAGTTCTGGCCGAGGGATTTCCTAGCTGAGGACATTCCATACGCGCGCGTCTTTGTCTACGGATACAATTCAAATATCACTCATCCACAGACCATGTCAACGGCAAGCATCAAGGACCACGCGAATACTCTATTGAATTTGTTGGATATGGAACGTGGTCCCCAGATGGTGAGTATGTTCCCATGCTTTAGAGATTTGAATGGATCACTAACTTGCATAGGGCTCTGTTCCACCAAAAGTGATATTTATTGGACATAGCTTAGGAGGGTTGGTGATCAAACAGGTCAGACATAATCCCTTTTTGGGGGGGGGACTGCCTAACGGATTTGATAATAGGCACTTCTCAATGCCAAAGAAGATCCAAAATATACTTCTATTCGTTCGGCAACTTCTGGTCTCGTGTTTTTTGGGACACCTCATCGTGGCGCAAAGGCTGTGGAACTGGGGAAAATCGCAGCTCGAGTGGCCCGCTTTGTGTCCAAAGGCCACGCTAGCAATGACCTTCTCGACTGCCTGGAGCACAATTCACTTTTCACGCGCCAAATGACAGATCGGTTCCGACATCAACTTGAAGATTATCGTGTTGTTAGCTTCATTGAAGGGAAAGAGGTGCAAATAGGGGGAGTTGGACCAGCGTCTATCAGTCATGTAAGCGGCTTCCGTGGTCACACTGGTCCTAAGCTAATATTGATAAGCTTGTGGTTGATGAGGAGTCCGCGGTTCTCGGGTTGTCCGGTTTACGCGAAACCCAACTCAAGCTCGACGCAGACCATTCGCAGATGTGCAAGGTGGGCGCTCGGGGTCCTATGTATCGTTTGATCAAAGGAAACATCAAACAGCTGGTCGATCAGGCGCTTTTGTCCGAGCAAGGCTTCATTCCACAATCAGTGCCTTTGTCTGCTTCATCTCCACCACCAGTACCACCTCGCATGCATTCGAATAGTAGTACCCCATACCAAGGCCAGGGTCGCCCATCTCCAGCGCAGAGGGTTACAGGAGTGATGTTCAATGCTCTGGATAATGACCCGCGATCTGTTCGCTCTGCAGAACTCAAAAATCGGGCTCGATGGGACGAAGCCCGAACCGTCGAATATGAGATTTTCCAGGAGCATTTGCGTAGCCTTGGTCCCGATCATTTCAGTACACTGTCAGTGGCATACAATCTAGCTGAAGTGGAACTGGAGACCAACTACTTGGAGAAAGCAAGTGAATGGTGTCATTGGGTTTCCGAAAATGCCCAACGCGTCTTTGGGGCAAAGCATCCTCTGGCAATGAAGACGGAAAGCTTGGCGGCAGAGGTATTGTGCCAGCAGGGCATGTATCAGGAGGCGGAGTCAGTCTGCGCCAACGTGTTGGCCCGTCAGCAAATGACTATCGGCGAAGACCATTTGGACACCTGTGACACCCGGCGCCGATTGGGGATGACTTACAATGCGCTTGGTCGCCGGGAAAATGCTGTCATGACTGCAGAAAAGCTGACAGACAGCCTAAAACGTCTGCTTGGAGAAACCCACATCCGTGTATTCGGATCTGTGTTGGACGGGCTGGAGTATATCATTAGCAACCAATCTGGGAACGCAACTACCCTGATTGTTATGCGTTTTCAGCCCGATGTACAACAGGCCTTGGAGATGTTGTTACAAGTCTACCAAGAGCTTCGGACTGCCTTGGGTCATGGACACCCGTCTACCATCCGTGCTCTCTCTCTCCACGGCCGAGCACAAAGCTTTATGCAGCAGAGCATGGAGGCCTCGGAGACGCTACGCCGGGCTCTGGCCAGTGCAGAGGAAGCATTAGGGCACGATCATCCGTTGACGATGGATATCGTGGGCAATATTGGCGTCATGTACGCTCTGCAAAACGGCTATGCGTCAGGTTACCTCACCAACAATCGTGCCGCGGAAGCGTTCCCCTGGTTGATACGATATTTGAACTGGGTCGAACATCGCAAAGGCAAAGACAACCCCGAGACGCAAGCCACACTGGAGCTGCTGGCCAATTTACACTTCAATGCTAAAGAATATGAACCAGCCCAGAAGTACTATGAGCGCCTGATAGCGAATATGCGCAGGACTGACTCAGCAGCGAACGAACGCATCAACGCTCAGCTCCAGCTGTGTCGAGCGAACACCATGTACACCCGTCGAGGCCTAGGGGCAGGGCTGGGTGGGTTCTTGTCCAACTTGCAGCGATAATGACGGTCTTCCACTACACCTCAATATTCAACTCTCGCTTTTTGAAATTCGATACCATATTGGCCATCATTTAGTCATTGTTATTCTGGTAATATGTTCATTATCATTTGCCTAAGCATTTCATAGGTCTTGTGCTAAGGTAGAACAGCCAGTCTTCATGTTTTAGTGTTTTAGTGAGAGAACTTGTCGGGGATGCCCTTTCTGTAAATGGAATCAGCGCTGCCTTTGCTCGGTCAAGGTCTAGGAAATCATACGCATTCTTCTCCAACTGCTCACGGCCTGTATCAGTAAGCTTCTTCGCGGGGTCACCACCGCCGTCACCACCGCTGAACTTCTTCTCCACGGCACCAATACCTGATGCCGTTAGCTTGTTGAAGTTCAATGCTAAGCGATTATCGACACTGAAGCTCACCCTTGTCAATGATTTCTTGGCCCTTGCCACCTCCGATCTTGGAAGCGAGTCCTTGGACTTTGTCCATTATGAAATAGTGATAGTAAAATGTAGAGAGGTTGTAGAGATGTAGAGAGGTTGTAGAGATGTAGATAAGTTGTAGAGACGTTGGTTGGGAATTGAAGCAACTCCAGATGGACCAGCTTTTTATAGGAAACCAGGTCTCTCTAATCAAAAATCTATTACGATCTACTCCGCATTTTGTATGATTCTTAGCCCTTCCTGGAATAATGATTCGCTTTAGCATGGAATGCTATCGTCATTGCCGAATTCGATCATCCTAAATGTGAGTCGCCCCCGCAGAGCTCATTTCTGGTGGATCTTTATTGGCTTTCTCATTGATAAGGTCACATCTGAAGTCATATTGATGATCTCGATCTTTCCAGGGTGGATCTAGTCCATAATCCAAGTCAGATTGCATATCGTGACGTCAGCAAATATAAAAGTTGCCTCAGGCATTAACTGACATCTTCCTAAAGAGGCACTAAGGCAGCCAGGCATCAATTTGTACAATAACTAACTAACTAACTATTAACTAACGTATTTCACCACCGAGTGGCCACAACCACCGAGTGGCCACCCCAACCCTACATATTAAATTTAAATGCATTTTTCTCAACCAAAACTCCATTAAATTAATTCAACTAACTAATTGGTCTATCTGGACATGTTTCTCTTCTATGCCCTGGCAATCTGCATATTCCACATCCCCGGGGGGGCTTTGTACGTGGTTGTAAACCCGATTCTCTAGGTATGCCGGCGGCGGGGGAAGGTGCTTCAGTTGCTTCCAGTTGCTGCATAATTAATGCAGATGCTTCTTGAACTGAGAGGCCTTCTTCGGCGGGTATCTGCCTTCGGGATCGAGTGCGCTTTTGCTTCTGCTTCTCGTTGGCGGCGCGTAAATCGCTTACTTCTTTCTCAAGAAGTGCGGCGGATTGCATAGTGATCTGGCACGCCTTTAAAACCTGGTTTATAGCGGAATTGAGAGGACTTAGAGGGCTCCTTGATCTTATACGAAGCAATGCTTTAATTAACGAAGCTTGTTTTTGTAATTGGACGTAGTTCGAAGGGGTTTTTGGGTCCCAATCACTACCCCGGCTCGGAGGGGGGGTCGGGGTTCGAAGACGAATATCAAGCTTTAAAATCACTCGATCGGGTGCAAAAGGTATTAAACCAGCTGCTCCGAAGCTATTTTTAATAGTCTCTGATTTAAAAGCTTCAATTCGTATAAGTGGGTATGCTTCGAGGAAGTCAAGTTTATCGACATGATTTATCCCACTCCGCATTTTGAATTCAACAAACCGACCGTACGCACGTTTTAGTACCGCAAAACAGCCGATATCGAGAGGTTGTAAAAGGTGAGAGGAATGCGGAGGCATACAAATTGGTATAATACCATTTTATTCGCAGATTTCGTCGAACTTCGGTGTTAAATGGCTTCCGTGACCGTCGAGTACTAGAAGCCGATACCTCCCCTTCGTACGCGAAGAAGTCGAAGGAATAAAGAGCTTTTCGAGCCAACGAAGTCTAATTTCATCCGAAGTCCAACCGTTAGGGCTTACTTCAAAGCGCCAGTCATTCGGGACGCTTTTAAACCAAGATTCGAGGAAGACTTTGCCTTTAAAAATCACACACGGAGGAAGCACCCAGCCAGAAGCACCCGTACATTCAATTACTGTCACCCACTCGCGAGTTCCAGGTTGTAAAGTCTTACGCCGACCGGTTATATCACTTCTCGTAATAACCTTCGCGGTCGCGGTTAATCCTAACGCGAAACCGGTCTCGTCAAAGTTATAAACGTCATCGGGGTCGATTCCAAATTGAAGGATCGTCTTTTGAACCAGATTAAACCACTCCCCAATGATTTTAGGGTCTTCGCATTTCGCACGCTCGTAATTATACCGTTTCGAGAATCGGGAGGAGAGGAGAGGATGTCGTTTCACGAATTTCGTAACCCAATTTTCGCCGACCGAAAGAACCGGGGTAGTTCCACGTTGTTGAAGAAGAAGATCCGCCATTTCTCGTACGGAAGAGGGCCGGGGGCTGCTCCACGAGAATCCATAGAGATAATCCATTTTTCAAGAGATTCCTCTTCAAGTTCTGTCAATTTATGCGAATTAGCGCGAGAAGTCGCGCGGTCTTGGACGCCGCTAAGGCGGCGGCGGAGAGTTGAACGCGGCACATTGAAAGTGCGAGCAGCGAGAGTAATATTACTGATATCTCCATTTTTAAAAGCCTGGATAGCTAATAAAAGCCTACCCTCTTGCTCAATTGAATTTTTCGAGCTTTGAGAGCGAATTGGTGGCATAGTGGGTGGTTGAAGAAGAAGGGATTAAATTAATTGACGCGTTTTGGGTGGGGTGGCCACTACCCCCGAGTGGCCATCTCCAAGACACATAGTAAATGCGATAGATTATTTCAACAACTATAAGTTAACTTAATTTTCACTATTAGTGGATAGGTATCGATAAGCATTTCTAGTAGCATGTATTGATTTTCAAAAAGATTAGAAGACTATATTACTATCATTTCAAAAATTACCGAAAATTACGTTACCAAAATCTAGAAATAGATATATCTCAGTCACCGACCCATCAAATTTCTCGAAACTCTCTAAAGAGACTAGATATCACCTAAAAAATATTATGTTATAAGGAAAGCTCTATATAGACTACCGTTGTTGAGATATTAAGCTGTAATTTATCGCATTTACTACGTGTTTTAGAGATGGCCACTCGGGGGTAGTGGCCGCTCGGTAGTGGAATACGTTAGTTAACGTATTTCACTACCGAGTCGGCCACACCACCGAGTCGGCCACCCAATCTAACTTATGAATTTTAATTGCAATTATTTCAACGAAAACGCCATTAAATTAATTCAACTAACTAATCGGTCTATCTGGACAGGTTTCTCTTCTATGCCCTGGCAACCTGCATATTCCACACCCCCGGGGGGGCGCGTACGTGGCCGAATAGCCGATTCTCCCTGTATATTGGCGCTGGGGGGAGGTGGTTCAACTGCTTCCCCCGTCTGTAAAATTAAAGTAGAGGCTTCTTGAACTGAGAGGCCTTCTTCGGAAGGTATATGCCTTCTAGATCGGGTGCGCTTTTGCTTCTTCTTCTCATTTTCAGCGCGTAATTCCTTGTTTTCTTTCGCCAGTAAGATAGCACCTTGCATTGTAAGACGGAAGCCCTTCACAAGCTGGTTTAATGCACGATCTGACGGGCTAGGCGGACTTCGAGATCTTGTACGAAGTAAAGCTTTGATTAACGAAGCCTGTCGACGTAGTTCTTTCTCTGTAGCTGGTGTTTTTAGTGTAAAATTCCGACTCGATTCGCTCCCCCGGCTCGGAGGGGGGGGGTCGGTGTTCGAAGACGAATATTTAGCTTCGAGATCACTCGGTCGGGTGTAAAAGGTACTAAGCCAGCTGCTCCGAAGCTATTTTTAATAGTCTCTGATTTAAAGGCTTCAATTCGTGCGAGGGGGTATGCTTCGAGGAAGTCAAGTTTATCGATATGGTTAATCCCATTCCACATTTTTATCTTAACTAGCCGACCATATGATCGTTTTAACACCGCAAAATAACCGATATTAAGAGGCTGTAAAAGATGAGAGGAGTGCGGAGGCATACAGATCGGTATAATATGATTTTTCTCGCATATTTTATCGAACTTTAGGGTTAAATGGCTTCCGTGACCGTCGAGTACTAGAAGTCGATACCTCCCCTTCGTACGTAAAGAAGTCGTCGGAATAAAGAGCCTTTCGAGCCACCGAAGTCCAATTTCATCGGAGGTCCATCCATTCGGACTAACTTTAAACCGCCAGTCATCTGGAAGGCCGTCGAACCAAGATTCGAGGAAGACTTTACCTTTAAAAATCACACACGGAGGGAGGGCCCACCCCGAAGCATTCGTACACTCAATAGTAGTCACCCATTCACGATTTCCAGGTTATAAAACTGAGCGCCGACTAGAGAGTTCACTCCTCGTGATCACCTTCGCCGTAGCGATTAACCCCATCGTGAAACCAGTCTCGTCGAAGTTATAAACGTCATTAGGGTCGATTCTAAATTAAAGGATTATTTTTTAAACAAGATCGAACCACTCTCGAATGATTTTTAGGTCTTCGCATTTCGCGCGATCGTAATTATAACGTCTCGAGAACCGGGATAAAAGAAGAGGGTTTCTTTTAACGAACTTCATAACCTAATTTTCGCCGACCGAAAGAACCGGGGTAGTTCCACGCTGTTCGAGGAGAAGATTCGCCATTTCTCGTACAGTAGCATGGCGGGGGGCTACTCCACGAGAATCCATAGAGAGAATCCATTTTCGAAGAGATTCCTCCTCAACCTCTGTTAATTTATGCGAATTTGCGCGAGAAATCGCGCGGTGTTGAAGACCGCGTAGTCTGTCTTAGAGAGTTGAACGTGGTACGTTAAATCGGCGCGCCACTTCACGAATAGAAGAGATTTCTTTATTCTTAAAAGCCTGAATGGCTAAAAGAATCCTACCCTCTTGCTCTGTTGAATTTCTAGAGGTTTGGGAGCGAATTGGTGGCATAGTGGGTGGTTGAAGATAAAGGGTTAAAATTAATTGACGCGTTTTGGGTGGGGTGGCCGACTCGGTGGTGTGGCCGACTCGGTAGTGAAATACGTTAACGTAACTAGTTAACTAGTTAACTAGAATTTGTCGAATACCGTGTCCAAATACCCAGTCAGATATAGTATCAAATCAAACCGCACAGGAAATTGCAACGGTGATTCGCACCAGTTGATTGCGAACGCTTAGGTTATCACTATCAGTGCTCGGTTCCATAGGATACGACAATTCCGAGTTTGTCTGAATCGAGCTGGACCAACTAAATCCAAATACCTCATTTGCAAGGTTGATGCGTGTTACATCACAGTGTGATTTGACTTCAAATCGCTTGGTTTGGAATTGTCGGTCTGACCCCGTTGAGTTGGGCTTGGTAATACCGACATCGGAGTAGGATGGCTATTTAGTCTAAACAAGATTCGGCTGGGAAGAAAAATAGAGTGTTTTTCATGTTTGTCATATGCACTTACTAGTGCTCTTTGGATATGATTTGGAAATCTTTTTCTTTTCGCCGAGACGAGTATGAGTATGGATGGAAACTATCTAAATGATTAAATTGCAAAGATAGTAAGGGGGTTAGGAAAGAGAAAACCTCGGAACGCGGAAACATACACATAGAACGAGCAAAGGCATCATAACCTGTTCAAGAAACCATGTGTTGAAATGAGCTAGCTACTAGTAACTGAGAAGAGAACGGCTATCAAATATTTTCTTTATGCAGTATCACCCTTCTTGGGCTGTCGACATGAAACACATAAATGTCGCATAAATGGCTGCAACCTCTTTCGACTCGTGGGCCATGCGGGAAGCAAGTTGTATGTCAAGTTGCAAGATAATTCAGTGGCTAACAATCAAGACCAGACTCCTTTAAAGGATGGAGATAATGAATATTCGGCTATTTGGGGGACACTCGGGATAAGCTACCCCGAGCTGACTTGCTTCCCCGCGTTGGGGTCAAAAACAATTTCCCTTTTATACCCAATGAGACAAGGCAAATGTCCCAGCTCAGGCTATTTTTCAAAGTCGCTATTGGTTTCTCTACCTTATTCCTGGGGTACCTGGTCAATTCCCGGAGTTGCGCCGATCCGCTTGATCAGTCACGTACAATGCGCTACCCAACAACTTCTTTATAACCTGTGTGGCCTCCGCTAAACCCTACACAGTGTAGTGCTTCTCGTTTTGAGTACAAGTCGAGTCTTATAACGAACGAAAAATTATGACAAAGCCAGCAGAGGAACAAGAAATATCTGATAAGGGCCTTGTCCTGGAACAGGATGCTCTCTACCATGCTTATGCTTCCAAAAGTCCAGAATGGCATCGAAGTATGACCCAACGTCTTCTTCGCAAGGTTGACTGGCACCTTTTGCCCTTTCTTGTTCTCATGTATCTGTTAAACTTCCTGGACAGAAAGTAGGTGCCACTGGTTACAGAAGCTATATAGGATATTGAGCCCTAATAGCAGTTTCTTTTAGCAATTTATCACAGGCTCGTCTTGGTACACTTGAAGAAGACCTCGGCATGGAAGGAACCGATTACAATCTTGCCACGAGTATTTTGTTTGTCGGTTATCTACTGATGCAACTTCCATCCAATCTGGTCCTAACTCGTGTTCGACCTTCACTGTTTCTGGGTATCGCAATGGCCATCTGGTATGGTATATTTCAATAAGATTAACAAGCTTTGGGGTGCTTAATTCGTTCCATAGGGGTATGATTTCCGCTTGCCAGGCAGCCATTCAGTCGTTTTCTGGACTCATTGCGACACGGTTCTTCCTTGGATTTGTCGAAGCGCCTTTTTTTCCAGGTGCCGTCATGCTAATGTGGGTCAAGCAAGGAGAGCGGCGAGTAGGAAGATGCTGATTTAGTTTGTATAGGTCGAGTTGGTATACCCGACAGGAGGTGATTCCGCGGCCCCTCCACAGTGGCGAAGGACCATATCTAACCTACTCGCTTAGTTGAGTCATCGTATTGCATGGTTTTATTCTGGCAGCTCGTTGGCCAATGCTTTCGGTGGTCTTATCGGAGCAGGCGTGCTAGGCAATCTTGACGGCGCGCATGGAATCGCCGGGTGGAGATGGCTATTCATCATCGAGGGAGTTATCACCGTGGGAATATCCGTGCTCGCTACGTGAGTCTTATCTATAGTTGGTACCTAGCTTCTACCCTTAGGCTGACTTTCTGTAGGGTCTTTCTTCCAAATTACCCAGCTTCGACTCCCTGGTTAGACGAACAGGAACAAGCATATGCGCAGTGGCGTCTAATGCATGATGCAGGAGAAGCCGACGAGGTCGGCTCAACCAGTATCAAGGAAGCCCTAGGGCTGGTGTTTGCGGACAAGCGCATCTATCTTTTCATTTTGCTGCAGCATGTCTCGCTCTTGTCGCAAAACTTCCAATACTTCTTCCCGACTATTGTGCAGACGCTCGGATATGGCAAAGTTGAAACCCTTCTAATCACCGCACCTGTATGGATCGCAACATTCCTTGTCTCACTGCTGGTGACCTGGACATCTGGCAAAACCAACGATCGCAGCCTACATATCATCTGTTTGATGATGGTCAGTGTGGTAGGAGGTGTGATTGCCACTGTGACAACAAACATCGGAGCCAAGTTCTTCGCCATGTTCCTGTAAGTCACCTATGATTATGTTCTTTACATGGCTGACGATCATAAGGATGCCTATGGGAGCGGTGTCTGCATATCAAATTATCATCGCCTGGGTCGCCAATTCCTTCCCCCGGCCGCTGGTCAAACGGTCTGCATCAATCGCGATTGCAAATATGATTGGAAATACCGCTTCAATCTATGGCAGTTATATGTGGCCATCCTCTTCAGGGCCTCGGTACATTCCAGGAGGAAGCGCAACCGCTGCGATAGCATTCCTAGTGGCGTTGGTGGCCCTAGTCATTCGCTTCGTACACGTTCACATGAACAAAAGACTAGATGAAGCTGAGTCCTCGGAGGGTATTCATTCATCTCATGCAACCGATCTGGAAACCAGAGCTGCTGGGTTCCGGTATATTCTCTGATCCCGTAGGCCCGAAGGGAGTTGGCCAGGTGGATGTCGGTGACGTAATGTGGGCTTCTATGAAGGAGATTGAGGATGAGATATTGAGCTAGAAGTACAGGATCGGGAAGGCTAGTGCGAGTTCAATGGGATTTAGATTGATCCTCGAGGCTTCTTGGCTCCTTGGCTCTGCGTATATATTTTTCTAAGTGATTTAGGCTTATACATGTTTCATACGATCATAGCATTCGAAGTATAGGTCTTCTCATCGGCCGAAATCAGGGTTATCTAGGTTCGTTCACACGGCTCAAACCGCAAACATTTATTGACCATGCTTAGAGCAGCGCAAGGTCACAATATATACAGCAGACTTCCAACACGGGTACTACAACCAGGCCTTTATCCTAATAGAAATGTACTGTCATATATTTCTCAATACTTCAATTTGCACCGAAGGGCTTGGGTGTAGAAAGCTAGGCTAAATGGGAATTCGATATACCGCAAGCGACTAGCAGGTTAATATGCAAGACCCCAGAAGATTGGTCTCGTTAATTGATATTAACACCCTACCCATCATACAGGCGTCGAGAGTTCAGCACCATTAGGGAATATAGAAATGGTTGTTGCCGCCGCGGGCATCGCCGCACGAGACCTTTGCTCGGGCACTACAGGAAGGTATGCCCCCATCGCATTTGAGGCGCTTTGGTCGACATTGTCGACATGCAGCTCGGACTTTCCTAGGAGGGGGAGCTTCTTCCGTTTTGCCTTGAAAAGTAAGAGGAAGAGTTCTGGAGATATCAGATCTTTGATGAATCAGCGAGTGAGCTTCATGTTAGCCCTGGAGGAAAGCCACGGGGGAAATCAAAGGCTTGGCCCGGGGTACGGGCATGATGACTAAATTGGTTCAGGTCTATAAAATATTTGATATTATGCCAATTCAGCTACAAATGAGCTTGACACTTCTAATTTGAGGCAAGAATAGATACATCTTTAAGGAAATAAACACTAAGGTGACCCCGAAAGAGCCTTAATTGCCTTTCTATCCAGAAAGTGATTCATTTCCGAAGCTTCTTAATGGTAGGACCCATCTCCTCACCGGCCTCAAGACACTCCAATGTCTTTTGGTCCACCTCATACCGCTCCTGACAGAGACGTACACATTCCTCAATGTGGGTGACAGGAATAGAGACAACGCCATCCTGATCACCCAGGATATAATCACCAGGCACAACAGTAACCTTCTCATCAACCTCAACGTTCTCATATTGGACAGGCACATTGAGCTCCGACGACCGTGTAAAAGTGTTCGATCCGAGGATGCTGGTTCCCCGGGCAAAAATACCCATATTCAATTCCTGGTGCTCAGTGATATCACGGAAGCGACCATCGATCACAACACCAGCAGCTCCGAGTTTCTTTGCTCGCGTGCTCATCAAGCCTCCCCAGCATGCGCTGATCAGACCTTTCGGCTGAGAAACAAATACCACACTGCCCTTTGGAATGGCATCGGCAAAATGATGAGGTGGTGTTGGTGAGGTCTTGTCGGCTGTAGGTACCATGCGAACTGTGTACGCCGGACCAAAGATCTTGGCTACTGCGCCGTTTGTCCCTGGGCTGAACATTTTGAGACCGGAAAGGTATCCTCCATGACGGAGGCCCAGACTAACAAGGGCATCACCAATCTGCAATTCTCCTCTGTGAGTAAGGACACTTTGTGAAGATACGCGTTATATAGAATGAACTGACATCGCACGAAGCAAACTTCCCTAGGGCTTGGATAGCTTTGGCACTTGCGACCATGTTGAATTTTAGTACAATAGAATGAGAATGAAGTCAGAATACTTGAAAATAAAGTACCCGTGTATATTACAGCGTCAATCCAAATTTCTGCCCGTAAATCGCAAGGGGGTTTGATGCAAAGTGCCGATGAGGTTGGGGATTTGATGCCCCGGAGTGACCCGGATTCACCCGGAGCTCTAACAGCCTCCGAATTCTACGCAACTGGCGATTTGAAATAAATTCGGAGGTAAAAAAAAAAATGTATGTTGTAAGGACAGATATTTTCGAGAGATATGGCCGAGTCTTGTTGATCCTTGCGATCGTGTTGGGCTCAGGCAATGTGTTGCGAAACTCCTTCTCTCGCGTCGTGCAAGCAACTAGATCACGAATTTTCGATGCGACAAGGCGATTCAACCATGGTCAAGCAATCCTTGGTGTCAATTACCATAAGTAAATCGTAGATCTTGAGTTACTGAAACAACAATCCCAGCGACCGTTGACCTTGACCGAGAAGCTCCTTTATAGTCATCTCATCACCGGTGACAAGGAATGGAAGCTAGAGAAAATTGAGCGCCGCAAAACAATTTTGGCGATACCTGACATATTACCTGCTATAATTCCACGGCGACAATGGCCCTCTTACAATTCATCAGTGCAGGTCCTCCCTCGAGTTATGGCGCCGACAACAGTACACAGCCACCATTGGATCATCTCAGAAAAGGGTGCCCCTGGAGACCTGCAAAGTGCGACATCTGAGCATGCGGAGGGGTATGACTTCTTGAGCAGTGCTTCTAGGGGATATAGTATTGGGTTCTGAAAACTTGGGTCCGGAATCATTCACACTGTGATCTTTGAAAACTATGAGGTGTAGGTTCGCATTTACTTGGATAAATGACTTTGAATTGCTGGTCCACTTTATAGGTCCGGTGGCTTGATCATTAGAACCGGTTCTCATACTCCAAACGGTGGCCTGGGAATGCTTGGTATCGGAGTTAGCGGCTCTAACGCCGTGGACGCCATGTCTGGGATGCCATGGGAGTTGCTCCAAGGGTTGGTGTTCGCTTGACTGGTCAGCTCAGTGGTTGGACATCAACAAAAGACATCAGTTGCAAATTGGCTGGTATTCTTTCTATGTCTGGTGGCAAGGGCTTATAGGGTTCTTTGGCCCGGGCACTGAGACCTTGGGTGCAACTGTCATGGCTACTATTTGTAACATGTCTGACGAGGTCCCTCCGCGAGTTAGCTCGGGGAACATCCAACATATCCAACATATCCTACATATAGATATTTGTGTCGAATACTCCGAAGAGCGGGGTTGCCTTCGAACCATCGCATTCGCCATCATAGTCCAATCAAAAGCGACCGGTTGTCTTGTTTTCGTTTTCGCACTCTCTTCAATTTCCTGTATTCATTTCAAAATGGTATGATCTATTACATCTGTGTGCGTGAATTAGGCTGATCTTGCAAGTCGGGTTCATCTTTCACTTCGATTCCCGTTCTGGATTTCTCTCAGGTGTTATCATCCAAGCCCGAATTCCTAGCAAGCCTTCGCGAGGCCCTTGTGAATGTTGGCTTTTTCTATCTTCGAAATGTTCCTATTTCAACCCAAACACAAGACCGGTTTATAGAAAGAGCCCTAGATCTCTTTGAGCTCCCACTAGAGAAAAAGCTTGAGATCGAAATGGTCAATAGTCCACACTTTTTGGGCTACTCAAGACTTGGTGCAGAAATTACGGCCTTGAAACCTGATTATCGGGAACAGTTCGATGCAAGTTCAAGGTCTCTTATTACTTGAAATTTCTACTAACATCCTTGTCAGTTCGCAACGGAGCTCCCTGCGCCTGGTCCAAACGAGCCTTTGTATAGGAATGTGGTTGGTCCTAACCAGGTAAAACCGTCTATTTTGTCTTCGTTTCTGTCGATGCTAAAATTTTCCCAGTGGCCAGATGAGAGGGCAATCCCTGGATTTCGTGAATCATTCGACACATACCTGTCGGAAGTGAGCAGCCTCGCAGAGTTGTTCCCAGGGCTTATTGCAGAGGCATTAGACCTCCCGTCAACTGCATTCAATCAAATATTTGATACCCCACAGCAACACAAGCTAAAGTTGATCAAATACCCTCCTCCGCCCGAAGGTAGCAACGAGTCCGGATTTCAAGGCGTTGGTCCTCATAAAGACTCCGGATTCCTCACATTCCTTTTGCAGGGTACACCGCACTATGGCCTCGAGGTCCAAAATAAGGCTGGGACATGGATTCCTGCACCGCCCCTCCCCGGGACATTGGTTATCAACATCGGTCGCTCCTTGGAGGCTCTGACTGGGGGGATCTGCACAGCCACCACTCACCGCGTAAGCTTACGGCCGGAGAACTTCCAAGGCGGTGCTGGCCCTTTAGGACCTAGATTTTCCTTCCCTGTTTTTCAGGGAGTGAGTCTCGATCTTTCTGCCGAAACGATCTCTTTGAATATCCCAGCTCATATCCGTGCCTTGGTGAAAGACGACAAGGTCAAATCAGATGCAGAGGCAACTTTTAACCAAATATTCCATGGGAGCATTGGCGAGGGCACCTTCATTGCTCGGGTGACCAGTCACCAAGATGTTGGACAGCGATGGTATCCGGAAATTCTAGCAAAAGCATTGAAGGGCCAGAAGGATTTTCTTACCTGACTGATAGGTCAAAAGGTGCACGGTAAATCCTTCCTCGACCCTAAGGTCAGATAAATATAAAATTCAACGTTGCTATTCTATGTGTAAAACTAAATACCATTGTAACTTGACTTCTGTGGTGTAGCGCGAAGGGTTAAAGGTTTAGAACAGCCTCCAAAAGTCGATTCTCGTTACATCTACACAAAAGCCCCCGCTTCAATGAATCTCCGTTAGACCGGGATACTACACTTACAGGGATAAAGTGCTATCTCTCGGCATGATATATAAATATGCACAATATCTCTTGGCGTGAGATTATTGCATATCCCTACGCAATTCAAACCAACGTGGCACAGGAGAGTTGCATGGCAGTGTGGGGAAGGTCACAATATATGTGACTGTTGTTTCATATAAACCTCGTAATCTGCCCTTCACTTCGAACTTTTCTCTTTATTTTAATAGTACTTTCTCATTACAATCATCTATCATGCGCTGGATCAAGTCACTGCTATGGCTCTCTGCAGTAACAGTGGCCCAGTCCACCGAGGGCATCTCCAATCTTGTTAAGCGACGATTGCCAGATCATGTTGATGATTTTCATTTTACTTTGGATACTAATCTCGCGGGAGACTATGATTCTTATGTTGTGAGCAACGCTCCAGATGGGACGATTTCAGTCAAGGGAACTTCTCTAAGCGCATTATCCTCGGGGTAACACGATCATTCGCTTTATATATGACACCGCTGATTATTCCCCCAGTTTGCATCGATACCTCAGCGATGTCGCCCATGTTGACATTTACTGGTTTATTGGCAGTCGGCTGCATGTCGCGCCATCCACGTTACCTCGTCTAGACAGGCCAATTCATGGCTCCAGTACTGTCCCTTGGCGATATCATTTCAACACAGGTATGATATCTATATGAGATACAGCTTGGCCTTTCTAACTGGGCTTAGTAACCTTTTCCTACACCACCGCCTTCTGGACATGGGAGGATTGGGAATCACAGCTCGATTGGATGGCCCTGCGCGGTGTGAATCTACCCCTTGCTTGGGTTGGCCAAGAGAAGATTATTCTCGAGGTCTTTCGTGAACTCGGCCTGGCTGATGCCGAGATCACCACCTTCTTCAGCGGTCCAGCCTTTCAGGCCTGGAATCGGTTTGGCAATATCCAGGGCTCCTGGCACGGTGATCTTCCTGAGACATGGATCGATCAACAATTCGATCTGCAAAAGAAAATCATTCATCGCATGGTAGAACTGGGGATGACCCCTGTATTACCATCCTTCTCTGGGTTCGTTCCTGCCAATATATCTCGTGTTTTGCCAAATGCCAAGGTGGTTCGAGGGTCACAATGGGGCGGTTTCCCCGTACAATACACAAACGACACATTCCTTGAGCCATTCGATGACAACTTTGCAAGACTCCAAGTCAGTTTTATCAGCAAGCAACAAAAAGCCTATGGTAATGTCAGTCACATCTACACCCTCGATCAGTATAACGAGATCGACCCTTACTCAGGTGACATGGACTATTTGCGTAACGTCACTCGCAACACCTGGCGCAGCTTAAAACAGGCTGATCCTGATGCCGTGTGGATGATGCAAGGCTGGCTTTTCTATGCCAACTCCGATTTTTGGACTGATGAGCGAGTGGAAGCCTATCTGTCTGGGGTAGACTCAAACGAGGATATGTTGATCTTGGATCTTTTCTCCGAGTCAATTCCAGAGTGGCGCCGAACAAACAGTTACTATGGAAAATCTTGGATTTGGTGCCAGTTGCACAACTTTGGAGGCAGCATGGGCCTATACGGGCAAATCCAAAACCTGACCCAAAATGCTACCGAAGCCCTAATCGAGTCTCCATCCATGGTCGGATATGGTCTCAGCATGGAGGGCCAAGAGGGAAACGAGATAGTGTATGACTTGCTTCTGGATCAGGCGTGGTCTCGGGCCCCATTGGATACACAGCAGTACTTTCACAATTGGGTGACAAGCCGATATTCTGGCCAGAAACGCATCCCGCACGGGCTCTACAAGGCCTGGGATCTAATGCGACAGACAGTGTATAACAACACAAACATCACAACTCTGGCCGTGGCAAAGTCCATTGTTGATATTGAGCCCAAGCTTTGGAGTTTGGTTGATATTGTCGGTACACACGGCACAACTGTCAATTACGATCCATCTATACTGGTGCAAGCGTGGCAGCTGATGTACCAAGCAACAAAAGAAGAACCCAGGCTATGGTCCAATCCGGCTTATCAGCATGACATGGTTGACGTGACTCGTCAAGTCATGGACAACGCTTTTATTCCGATGTACTCAGATCTTGTTGAGTCCTACAACAACTCTCGTGCTACACACGCAGTTGCGCAGGGGGAGAACCTCCTCCAAATGCTGGCAGATCTGGACTCCATCCTTCTCACAAATCGAAATTTCCGACTTTCGACGTGGATTGACTCGGCACGGGCCTGGGCCAACGGTAACAAAACCGAGATTGCATTCTTGGAATATAACGCGCGTAATCAGATTACTCTCTGGGGGCCAAATGGAGAGATCTCTGATTACGCTTCCAAGCAATGGGGTGGGCTCGTTTCCTCATACTACGTGCCCCGCTGGCGGATATTTATCGAGTACCTAAAGTCAACACCGACCGTGTCATACAACGCCACTGAGATACATGAAAGGATACGAGATTTTGAGTTGCGGTGGCAAGATGAGACCTGGTCTGTTCCCGAGCCTACTACGGAGATGGTGGATTTGGCCAAAGTATTGACAAGAGTCACTCACCAATGGCCGGTTATCTTTGGACTGGAATAGACCATCTATATCATCCGAACCATCGCTTTCGGAATGAGCATTTTTAACCAATGAGAGATGAGAGGATGAGAGGATGAGAGGATGAGGGGATACTGGGATGTTGCCAACAAGAGAAATGAAGATGTTATTGGGTAAAAGTGATATTGGCAATGTGATTTCAAGTTGTAAAGTCACAAAGGAAAATATACAAGTCTCGGAAAAAAGTGATGTTCCTTCGGAAGTGTCGACCGAGTAATCCCAAGCAGATACATGTTTGGTACAGGTTTTCGGATGAGATTATGGACATCTATGGGAGTAGACCATGTTAATATCACCCGAACCATTGGCGTAGTGAGCTTTTTAGAGATGGGATACGATGTTGTGATATTGGGAGGTAAGAGAAATGGATAGGGCATTGAGTGATTTTGTCATAATATCAAGTGAAGATGAGATATTTTGCCCGGAAGAGAAATAGACGTTGAAGTTGAAATGGCCAAGGCTCCAAATGTCTTGGCGTCTCTCATCTCTTTTCTCTCCGCAACTCTCTACTCTCTCCCAAACACATCCTCTTCTCCAACATGCCACGCGCCGTCCGAGGTATTATTATTATTTTCTTAGAAATTGCTTCCCAGTTCACTTGTTAATATTTTTTTAATCGGCAGGTCTGCTAATCGAATGCGATCCTTCGATCAAATCTATGATCCTAAAGTACGATGAAGAGCGACATGACTACATAGTGGAGGATTTGGATGACGAGAACCACCTGGTCATCAAAGAGAGCCAGCTACAGAATCTCAAGGTTCGCCTAGATCAGGTACATACTCTAGCTTGGGGATTTTAGGGCCATTGCTCACAGATTTGGCAGGACCTTGACGAAAAGATCATGCAACTGGATGAATCTGAATCCGAATAGGTCAAAAACAGCTATCCTGCACTGAACACGAAGCCTATACACGCGACGCAAAAAAAAAGCCAGCCGGTCGCCACATCCAAGTCCACACCCCACTCGCAGAACGATGTCATGAATGCGACCCTCTCTCATCGCATGTTACAAAATACAGTGGTTGAATGCAGTCCGGTCACCTCTCCCAATCATTCCTTCCTCTGACCGATCAAACCAATCAGTACTTGGTCACTTGACGATGAGAACACTCTCGGTGATAGTGTGGGGGGGGGACTGCTCTCAGACAAGGGAAGGCTGGATACTGTGCAGCGCACCCTCGTCATACTTCACAATCACAATGTTGTATAACCTAGCTCCGGGCTGTGATGACTAGTAATACTAAATGAGAGGCGTGTCACGTTTTATGTTGAAGCACATCATCCAAGACACCGGAGAAATCATTACTCCGACAGGGGTAACCATGGCACCAGATATATAGTGTAGCATGTCACTACGCTCAATGACACCTTACATTCTGCTAACCGATACACTGTATTCAGTCAATTACCACCTTATTGCATAACGCAAGAGCTACACTGGAGCACGAGCTGGAACCAGCGACGTCTTTGTGTCATATGTTTTCGGGTCATGGCTATAAAAGTCATGGCCCCCCCGGGTACTCCCTTGGACATAGCAAATCTCAGGTTCAAACCACTCTCAAACCAACATGTCTCTTCTCCGTGCCAACTTTCCCGGTTCTGGTGGCGACTTCGCCCCTCTCTTCCGTCTTCTGGACGACTACGATGACCATCGCTCCTCCCGCAACCAGTCGGTTACCTCATTCTCTCCTCGCTTTGACATCCGTGAGAGTGAAGACGCATACCATTTTGACGGTGAACTGCCTGGCATCTCTCAAAAGGACATCGATATCGAGTTCTCCGACCCCCAGACTCTGGTTGTCAAGGGCCACACTGAACGCGAGTACCACACCTCCGAGCCGAAAGGCGAGGCCAAGGAGGGCGCGAAGAAATCCGACGATGCCAAGCCCACTCACCGGTTCTGGGCCAGCGAACGCTCCGTCGGCGAGTTCCAGCGCGTTTTCTCCTTCCCGACTCCCGTCGACCAGCACAATGTCAAGGCCAGTCTGAAGAATGGCATTCTGGCCATTCAGGTACCCAAGGCCAGCGCTACCTCTTCCAAGAAGATCACCATTGAGTGAACAATGAACATCCGACACAACCACGAAATATTAATTATATTACACGGACCTTTTTCTTGGTTATCTTTACTTTTCATGTATGCCATATAATTCTTAATATTTGGAATAGATGTTGTAGTGCGACACTTCGGCACATGCAAATCCCAAGCTGATTCGCAAAATATAATGTTGTGTATGAGTTTTAGAAAATAAATAGGCCTGAAATTGCATTTAAAAGGTAAAACAGGTGATTAGGCATTCGAGGATTCAAGCCATTCGGTGTTTTGACATTCAAATGTTCCCCATGTTTTGGTTTTGTGCCGAGGTCCCCGCAACAGCCCTTTTATACTCTCTCTTTCTCTCCTTCCCTCCCTCTCGCTATCCATCTCCCAACATGACCGACTACTCTTTCGAATATTTTACGGTGCAACTCCCGGCTGATAATCAATATGTGGCCCATGTGGAAATTAATCGTCCGGAAAGGTTGAACGCCTTCATCGAAGTGTGAGCGCTCCCCCAACCCAGACCTTTAGACCTTATATCCTCTAATAAATCGAATTTAGTATGTGGGAAAATATGGGCCAGATCTTCAATAAACTTTCCTCAGATCCCCGCGTTCGTGCAATTGTCCTCAGCGGTGCTGGAGAAAAAGCATTCACCACCGGGCTGGATGTCAAGGCGGCCTCGGAAGGTCTTCTCTCTTCAGATACCGAGACTGACCCAGCCCGAAAGGCGGTCGCTTTTCGTCGCCATGTCACCACCTTTCAGGATTGTATCACTGCGGTAGAGCGCTGTGAAAAGCCCGTTGTGGTAGCCATGCACGGGTTCTCATTGGGACTCGCCATTGACCTGTCAACGGCGACGGACGTGCGTCTATGTGCCCAGGACACCCGATTTGGGGTCAAGGAAGTCGATATCGGGCTCGCAGCAGATATCGGTACCCTTAGCCGACTCCCCAAGGTGGTCGGAAATTACGGATGGGTGAAGGAGGTGGCTCTGACAGCGCGCGAGTTCGGCGCTGAGGAGGCCCTGCGTGTGGGATTTGTCAATGCAGTGTACGATAACCGTGAAGCCACTATTTCGGCCGCATTGAAGCTCGCCTCCCTAATGGCTAGCAAGAGCCCCGTGGCCGTGCAAGGCACCAAGGAGATCTTGAACTACTCGCGTGACCACTCTGTACAAGAGGGACTGCGCTATACGAGCGTATGGAATAGCGTTGCTTTGCAGACCCAGGATATCTCGGCGGCTCTACTGTCTGGGTTGCAAAAGCGCACTCCAACATTTGAGAAGTTGTGATGGAATTTGGGGTTTTCGGATCTATATTCCTACTGTATATATTATCAGTCTGTTCAACACTCCCGGGCAGGTAATGTCGTCATAAATATGAATTGTTTTAGGATAATTTCCGACATTCAAAAGCCTAATGCATTATTTCAAGTCCGTGTCCTATTCGGATGTGACGAGTTTCCATGAATCAGAAGCATCGACGATCAACGGATCTCCGCATTCCAGCTGTGTCTCGCCCGGCACGTCAGCATCTCCTTTTCTCCGGACGAAACTCGAGAGCTACGCAATAATGGCCGTGTATACCCCGCGAAGGGTGTCACTTTCTTCCACGTATCGAAGCTATTGCTTAGCATGGCTTGAAAATGTATATTTTTGAAGAAGCTGCCGATTCTATAGAGATCTATCAAGCCTTTACAGCTAAAAACCAATATCCCTCTCGCCATGAAATCTGCTATTCTCCTCTCGCTCATCCCTAGTGCGCTGGGTACTATCTACCTTGCTGGTGACTCGACCATGGCAAAGGGTGGGACTGGATCTGGCACAGCGGGTATGTATTCTCATCAGCCGTAAAGCCACAGCCGTATAGCCAAAGCTAATCTTTCCAGGTTGGGGTGAATATGTTACTCCCTATACCTCACTCACTGTGTCCAATCAAGCTGTCGCCGGCCGCAGCGCACGGTCATACACGCGTGAGGGTCGGTTCGATGCCATTACAGCAGTGGTCCAGTCTGGAGATTGGGTAATCATCGAGTTCGGGCACAATGACGGTGGCTCTCTGACTCCCACTGATAACGGGCGTACCGACTGTGGTGGCACAGGAAGCGAGACCTGCAGCACAATCTACAACGGGGTCGCCGAAACAGTGTTGACATTCCCGGCATATGTAGAGAATGCCACCAAGGTATTCAAGGCCAAGGGCGCGAATGTGATCATCTCGAGTCAGACACCCAACAATCCCTGGGAAACCGGAACCTTCACCTATGCCCCGTCGCGGTTTGTGGGCTATGCGCAGGTGGCAGCTGCAGCCGCTGGCGTGCCCTATGTTGACCACGGGGCTTATGTGGCAGATCGGTTCAAGACACTGGGCCTGACTGCTGTCGATGCGTACTTCCCCTTGGACCACACGCACACCAGTACCGCCGGTGCATCGGTAGTGGCTCAGGCTTTTTTCAAGGCTGTGGTTTGTGGGAATGTTGCGCTGAAGGGTTCTCTCAGCACTACTTCTTTCCCTGGTTCTTGCCTTTAGATAACAGCGGAGTATAAGACTTATGCAATCTATTATTTTGTGACTATAGCTGTGCCCATACAGTGAGATGGCTTCGGCTAGACAACTATATCCAAGAGGAATTGTAGACTGGGGGTTAACCCAAGTTGGCTCACGGCCAGGTAAATTCGTAAGGCTTCGTAATATGTCCAACGATAATGACAAGTCAAAATGCAAGATGAAAGAGCTTTTTCGTGTACTCCAGTCCGATTTCATTCCTCCAGGATAGACCGAACGATACCCCGATTCTCGACTCGGTGATAATATTGATTCAAGCTCGTGAATCGAGCGTCGAATGTACCCTGAGTCTGTACAATATCCCGCAGAACTGGCCATAGAGAGCAATCGTCGATGGTAAACACGGAACCTCCTAGGTAGTGTTGTCCCTGCAGAGTACGATCCCAATCCTCAATCCCGTATTCAAACCTACTAGCTGAATTAGTCGCACGGTGCTGACGCCAGTATGTCAGAAACTCGTCAATCGTTGACAAGAAATTGCCCCCGAGTAACGAATCTACACCTGGGCATGAGGCCTCGGCAGATCGGTTGGCCATATATGCTAGGATAACAGAGTCGCCCGCGACTGTTGTTCCATCAGGCGTTTCATATATTGGGTATCCCTCGAGTTGTGCGAGCCCCTGCTCATGGTTGGTTGTCAATCGGTACCGGACGCCATTTTCCCCCAGACAGAGACGCACACGCAAGTTGGCCACAAGATCACAGCCAAGTAATAGCTGCCCGGTTGATGTAGTCACAAAGTTGACCACGTCAAATCCTCCGCCGTACACGGCATCCCAATCGAATTCGGTGGCACGATTTTCTTGGCCAAAGGCAGTAATGAGGCGTGCTGCTTCAGCAGGATCCCCATGGACCACGGCGCGTGCCTGTTCTAATGTTTTGCTGACAGCCCCTTGTCCCCAGATGGTGTTAGCCACAGGGTCGATGAAAGTGCCAATATGACGAAAAGTAAGGGAAATGCGCTGACCACCGTAGGCTTGCTCTTCGGTAGATTTGGTTGCACTGGGCCGTTTGTCTGCCCGGATGCCATGAAGCCATCGCATGTTCGTCTTTGGACCCAGCACAAAAAGTGAATTATGAGGAAGCGGCACACGCTGCGCTGTCCGACGTGGTTCCACGCCTGCTTCGGGCTCAGATGCCGAGGCCTTGGTACGGAGGACCATTACACGCTCGGCACCTAGGCTGACGTTGCAAATGAAGGATTCTCGCGTAATATCCAGCGTCTTATCCGAGTGCTCTGATATGCGATCCTGTCCATCACGATAAAGTTGAATGAGTACATGATTCAGGGGGTGGCCTAGTATTTGCTCAACAGCCATGCGCACTTCATCAACCGTGGAGGTAAATGGCTTGAAGGGCGGAGACTCGTCTGCCGGATGACGATATATGGCTATGGCTCCATCGGGTCGAGTTTGACCCTGGACTGCAACCAATCGGGGAACTTGGCCCGACATATGGTACATCTTTTGCCAATCTACCTCCGCCTGTATACGCTCAAAGGAATCTGCGGCCAGTTTGACGTTGGTGACGAGGCGTGAGTCGCCCTCCCCGATCTTGGTTTGACATTCCGCAGATTTTCTCTCCGCTGGTATGGCATCTCGGCGCTTCGGGCGACGAATGCGCGCACGCACCTTCTTTTGCCCTTCTTCCGGACCCCGCGCCTGCGCAGCAGCAGTAGCGCGCTGCGCACGAGAAGGAGTAACGAGTTTCGAAAGACTCGGCTCCTCTGGATCCTGAGAGTCATCTGTGGGAGAGGGGTCCACGGTATTCCAGAATTCTAGACTATCCATGACGCTCTCGAGGCCAGCTGCAGTTGCTGACCTCTTAGGCTGTGGTGCACCTTGGCGAGCAATTGCCTCAGTTTCATCCCAATCTAGCTCTTGGATGAGCTCCTGAGCGGTGATACCAGTTGCTCCCAGGATATCCGCCATACGTCGCATGGCTTCTTGATGCCGCTGGAAATCGCGGAATCCCAAGCAATCCTCCACAAGAGTTACCGAAAACCCATTGCGGACAGCATCCAGAGCGGTTGCAAACACGGATACATTCGACAACGAGCCACAAAGGTATAACTCAGTCACAAAGTGTGTCCTAAAGGATAGCACCAGGCCGGGGGACTCCAAGGCGGAGTATCCTGTTTTGTCCACCACGGTGTCATGCTGGGGGTTGATGGCGGCCAGAATCGGTGCGGGGAACTGATATCCGGGGGTACTCGGGTCACAGCATGGCGAAGAGTCGGCGGAGAGGAAGGCTTCAGGGTCGACGGGTTCTGGTGAATCACGATCCGAACCAACTTCAATTATATCCGAAGTGGGCGACTGCTTTCTGCGCGGCGGTTGTCTGTCTAGGACAATGCGATCACCAAAGTTCCAGTCAACGATGGTCTGAGGGGATTCATATTGTGAGCGCACCCAAACTACATCACCGACTCGACGAAATGCAGATGCGAGTTGTGGGAGAGTTTCGAGGATATCTGGTGTATTCGGGATATGTAGAGCGCCAAATGGACGGACAAAGTCATTCTGAAAGTCAAGTAATATCAAGGCCTTTCGGGTCTGAATAGTGGGCAGATCCCCGAATGAGAAGACACTCATCCTATAGACATGATAGGGAAGTAATTGAACAGACGTGGGGTTGTAGAAGGTGACATATTGGCCTAAGGCAGAAATGGTACTTTTGGGGAAGGAACGAGTCTCAAGAGAAGAAGGTACTATCACGTGAAACAACTCAAAACAGTCTGGGCCTTCTCCAGGCCTCTCTTTGATCTCCCGGAGATTGCTTCTACTCCGGGGAAAATATCGGCCTCCCAAACCCACTTGAAACGGAGTCATAAAAAGATATCTTTTGCTTGTTGCACTGGGAAACGCAATTCATGACATAATAATTATCTTCCTCCAATCAATACGCCGGCCGGTGTCGGTGTGGGGTCTCCGGGGAGCAAGGTCTGCTCTCCGAGAATTGCTACGGTGACTCGAATGACCCAGCATATTTGCCCATTATTTAAATTCCCAAGCTTCCCCCGTCTTCTTCTTCTCCTTCACTCTCCACTCCCTCTTTCATATTTCACAATGGCTTCTCGTGGTCTTCCCCGTGCCCTCCGCCTCGCCCGCGTGGCCGCTCCTCGCTCGGTCATCACCGCAGCTCTCCCTCGCCCTGCCATCGCTGCTGCTACCCTCCCCCGTGTCTCCTCGGTCGTCACTCCCGTCCGTGGTATCAAGACCATCGACTTCGCCGGTGTCAAGGAAGATGTCTACGAGCGTGCCGATTGGCCCCGTGAGAAGCTCCAGGAGTTCTTCAAGAATGATACCCTTGCCCTCATCGGCTACGGCTCCCAGGGTCACGGCCAGGGTCTGAACCTGCGTGACCAGGGTCTCAACGTTATCGTCGGTGTCCGCAAGGATGGTGCCTCATGGAAGGAGGCCATTGAGGACGGCTGGGTTCCCGGCAAGAACCTGTTCGATATGACCACCGCCATTGAGAAGGGTACCATCGTCATGAACCTGCTTTCCGATGCCGCTCAGTCCGAGACCTGGCCCACTATCAAGCCCCTCCTCACCAAGGGCAAGACTCTCTACTTCTCCCACGGTTTCTCCCCCGTCTTCAAGGACCTCACCAAGGTTGATGTCCCCAAGGACATTGATGTCATCCTCGTTGCCCCCAAGGGTTCCGGCCGTACCGTCCGCACTCTCTTCCGTGAGGGCCGTGGTATCAACTCCTCCATCGCCGTCTACCAGGACGTCACTGGCCAGGCCAAGGAGCGCGCCATCGCCATGGGTGTCGCTGTCGGCTCCGGCTACCTTTACGAGACCACCTTTGAAAAGGAGGTCTACTCTGACCTCTACGGTGAGCGCGGCTGCCTTATGGGCGGTATCCACGGTATGTTCCTCGCCCAGTACGAGGTTCTCCGTGAGCGTGGCCACAGCCCCTCCGAGGCCTTCAACGAGACCGTTGAGGAGGCCACCCAGTCCCTGTACCCCCTGATCGGTGGTTACGGTATGGACTGGATGTACGCTGCCTGCTCCACCACTGCCCGTCGCGGTGCCCTTGACTGGTCCAGCCGCTTCAAGGATACCCTGAAGCCCGTCTTCAACGACCTCTACGACAGCGTCCACAACGGCACTGAGACCCAGCGCTCCCTCGACTACAACTCGCAGCCCGATTACCGCGAGAAGTACGAGAAGGAGATGCAGGAGATCCGCGATCTTGAGATCTGGCGTGCCGGAAAGGCTGTCCGCTCTCTCCGCCCCGAGAACCAGAAATAAATAATTACCCTTGATACCCGTGAGGGTTCAAAAAATGATGATGTACTATGAACTGTTCTTTTTTGGGTTTCAGATCGAAAATATTATTTGAGGCTTTATCGGCCATTCCCCAGTTACTTCTTTTTTTTCTCCGTTTTTCGTAGCTTGTAGATTATTTCTTGCAGCCTATCTTGTACCTGCAGTAGCGCGCCGAATCGTGGAGAAGAGTATGGGGTAAAATAAGAGTCATACTCGCTTCTCTTCTTCTCTTCTTCTCCAACCTCTGCTCCAACCCAAAATGACTTCGCCCGCTGTCGCCGCTCAATCGCTCACCCCAGCTGCTATTCAAGCGGCATACGGTCTCATCCAGCCCCATGTACACCGAACGCCGCTGCTGACATGCAAAACACTCGACACCATCGCCTCAACACCGCAATCGGCCGAAGCCTTGGTCGGAACGCAGTTTGAAGGCCAAACTCCTGCCCACCCACAATTTCGGTTCTTCTTCAAATGTGAGAACTTTCAACGAATTGGTGCCTTCAAAGCACGGGGTGCATTCCACGCTTTGCTGCGACTGTTGGAAGAGTGCGGGGAGGAAGTCAAACGGCGCGGGGTCATTACACATAGCTCTGGTATTTTCTGATCTTCTATGGCCCTATAAAATTGCTGACTCGTTTAGGAAACCATGCACAAGCCCTCGCCCTCGCTGCCTCGACTCTGGGCATCCCCGCCTACATCGTGATGCCCCGCATCAGCACGCCATCGAAAATTTCGGGTACACAGTCCCACGGCGCGGAGGTGATCTTCAGCGGCTCGACGAGTGTAGAACGTGAAGCTGTGGTGGCAGAGATACAAGCAAAGACAGACGCTATTCTGGTGCCGCCATATGATAACTTTAATGTCATTTGTGGACAGGGTACAACGGCTTTGGAGCTGGAGGCACAGCATGCCGAACAAGCTGGATCGCGGCCCCTGGATGCGGTTATAACCCCTATTGGTGGAGGTGGGCTCAACTCCGGCGTGGCAACATGGTTCTCGGACAAGCAGACCCGCGTGTTTGGTGCAGAGCCCAGCTTTGAAGGTGCAGATGATTGTCGACGCGGGCTGCAGGCTGGAAAGCGAGTGGAAGCCGTTGGCACCCTCACTATCGCAGATGGGCTACGCACTCCCGTGGGATTACTCAATTGGGAGGTTATCTCCAATGAGAAGAAGGTGGCAGGGGTGTTCGCTGTCACCGAAGAGCAGATCAAGTCAGCTATGCGGTTGGTTATTGAACGCATGAAGGTTGTTGTCGAGCCGAGTGCAGTGGTTGGACTGGCCGTGTGTCTCTTTGATGAGGATTTCAGGCGACGAGTCGAACAAGAGGGTGGTAAGGATGGATGGGATGTTGGCGTTGTGTTCAGCGGTGGCAACACAACTGTCGAGGCAATTGCCAAGTTGTTTACATGAACTGTGAATAGAGTCGTTAAATCAATGATGAGGATCAGTCATCTCAACACCCGAGTCACGTATGTAAAATGAAAAGCTACCACCACTGTTCGCCTCAATTGCTTCAACTATGCGACGGGGCCATTCACCACGTCCCCATGCATTGACGCATGCCGATATCTTGCCTTGCTGAACCACACTCTGCCGTGAAGAGGCATCCTTCACTGCTGCATGAGTGGCCATGCTCGGTGGAAAAGGGCGAACAGACGACCGGTGGACAATCAGACGCAATGTTGGGAAAGTGCCCCAGGGTGCAGGGAGAGCAGGTCTCAGCGATGGAACACGAGCCTGGGAGTGGTCGTATGGACCAAGGCCAGAAGCTCGACCCCCTGAGACCGTTGCGGTATACACAATTGCACACTGGAACTGACTCTGTATACCCTTCAGCTCCCTCACCACCTCGGTATAGAGGTCGGACAAATGGAACCTGTTTTTCTGCTCTCGATCAGAATCAATTTCTGGTTGAGGACGCCCGATCTCTTCAATCCGAGCGACTTCGTCCCGCAGCCGGTCTTGCCAGAAGAACGCGGTGACACTGTCGATGGCGATCATTTGTAAGGGACGTGATGCAGAACGATGTCGCGAGAGGTCGAAAAGGTACGAGTCTAGGGTGTGGATGGTGGCTAAAAGGGCGGATGAAGATTGCGGACGAAAGACATGGACATGCTGTAGTGAAGAGACGAGCAATGATTCGAGATGATCTGCGGTTTCTCCCGGTTGAGCAGACAGTCCTCGATGCTGCAGTATACCTCGAGCTACAGTTCTTAGTCTTTCGGCATCGAACCGGTTGTCGGTATCTATGAACACCACAGCTGCCTCTCGGCCACTGACTGAGATGTCCCCAAATTTTCGTGGTAAGATAGCCAGAGCCGTGAGATAGTAAAGTAGTTGAGACTTCCCCGAAGCCGACAAGCTGCTTGCAATCTCCACGATGGGATTCTGCTGATTCTTGCTATTTTTTGGGTCTTGCACTGCATGTATCTCATCCAGCCCATCCGGGTCTTCACTGTGCAGAAGCATTCCCTCGCCTTTCTTCCGTTCTGCAGACTCATTTGGATACTGAGGCTGTCCATCCTTCACAGCACCTGACACAGCAAGTGGTTTCGGCGCAAATACTTCAAGCAAAGCGTCCAGAATTGGCACGCCCAATGAATATGTTTCATGATTTGAATGACCCGGATATAAATGGGCCAGTGCGGAAAGTATCTAAAATTGGTCAATCCAATGCATGCAAATAAATAGGAAAGTTACAATACCTCATCTAATCCCTCTTGGTGTACATCGGCTAGCGATCTCTCCCCGAGATTGGCTGCCATGGGTGAGCAATGACCTGCGTCATGAATCTGACACTACTGGGTTTTGAATGAGACGTTTAAATTCCAGGGACTAGATGCGAGAAAAGTGGTAGAAGTGTAGAAGTGCGAGCGGAAAGTCGAGGTCGCGGCTGACGGAGCTTCCGAACTTCCCCAGTCAAATGTACCTCGAATCTTTTCCCCTCGACCCGAAACAACCAACTTTCACTCTAGTTCAATTATCCTATATTCACGATTGAGAATTACAATGGCACCTCTCGTCCCCATCTTCTCCGCCGAATCCCTCCCCGATCATGTCAATACCGTCCGCCGCAACTTCCAAGAGAAACGTCGCAAAGGCGAACCAGTCAACCTCAAGGAGTGCCCACTACTTGAAATGACACAATTCTCTTGCAATCCACCACAAAATGGGGTTCCTGAACCAGGAGTTGTTGTATGCGAGCCTGTGGTGCGGTTGTTTCGACGGTGAGTCTTGCATCGAGTTCGAGTCAAATAGCAAGCTGATCTTGTAGTTGTGCCGGTGGGTTAATGGTCGAAACAACATCATGGGAGCCACTTAGGCTGGCCGAGGAAGCGAAACAGAAGCAGGCCCTACAACAATGAGACTACTTTGCATTGTGGCGCATTGGGCGGAGTTGGCTATTTGGGATTACAATTACTTGCGGGTTTCAAAAATAAAAGTTGCATTTGAATACTGCTTATGATTGCCATGGGGTATCTCCTCAGGTCATGCTCCTGAAATAAAACACAAGCGCCAGCCCATAATCGGCAAAGAAAAAAAGAGAAAAAACAACGCCGGTAGGTCTTATGCCTTTTGTAATTTACATGTCAATTATGACGTCCGCTGGCTCAACACTTGCTGGAGGTTTGGGGGTCTTCTCCTCTCCTCGCCGTGTATTCGAGCTGGTCCGGCGCCAGAGATCTCGCTCACAATTGACAATGGGGCCCAACTCCATATTCCACGAGAGCTTGAGCCGGGACTTGTCGGCATCCCCGGGGTGAATTTCCATGGCTGAGCTGGTAGAGTCCTTGCTGTGCTTTTTGGATATTCCCTTGATCGTCTTTTCGAACATGCTTTCCATGCTGTCCATTCTCCGACCCCAGAGTTTCTTGTCGCGGCCAGTCGAGCCTGTCTGATTGTCGCGGAATGCGGCGCTCGCTAATTTGCGCAAAGCTTCCTCACCATGTCGTCCGTCCTCTGCAGCGCGTTCCCTGATCTTGCGTGGATCGTTGTCTCGTCCAATAAAGACTGCGGTGGCGGAATAAGTGTGTTTGCTAGGGAAGCTCGGGAAATGTTTTGGGATGTAGGGACGATTTGCACGGTCGTCTTCACTACTCAGCGCCGTGAGGAATGGGAGAGATTTGGATATTTCATTCTCTGGTGGGGGAGATGGTAATAGTGTCGGCGTAGGTTTGTCTGAGGACGCTGATTTAAGATGAGGGAGAAGGTCGTCGGGATCGAGACGGAGACGCTTCAGAGCGTAGTCAAAATCTTGCGGGATCGGTTGAACACGTCTCGCAGATAGCATGGACTGACGGATGAATGTGGAGAGTCGTAGCATGTCTAGAGATTTCAGGCGCAACCCGTCAATTCAAGCTTCAAAATAGATCTGATACCAGGCCACATACACTCCTCAGTAGCACTGCAGAGACTTGACAGGGCAGTTGGGTCAGCCAACTCAAACCCCGAGTTCTTCAAAGTCTGGCCGACTGCACGATTCATCAATTGGTCGAGTTGGGTGTCATCTTGCACGACTGGTTCGGACGAGGATGGGAGAACGATGGGCTCCTGTAAACGATGATGGTGATGGTAGTGACGCTTTATCCGCTTCGGGTTGTTCTCTTCGAAGGACGAGGAAGGTCGTTTAATATGGGCGCCTGATGTCGCCATGGCCATTGTATTGGTCTGATCAAAGTGATGGTCGGGACGACCAAGCAATGTTATCTGGGTCACGTGCTGAAGGCGGTGAATGGATGAGTAGCTGTCATGGATTCTAATCTTGGAGGGTTGAAGGAGAATGAAGTGTTTTTGAATGGAGGAATCACTTAAATAGAACATTCAGTATGTAGATGAGCAAATAATGCCAGCTAGGCTTCCTTCATTTCACCTCCATCTTGAGGGATTCCTCAGTTCCCCTTGCGCTTGATATGTGCCAGAGGGCGAAATACGAGATACTCATTCCATTGGGGCAAGTGATTCAGTATATAGAAAGTTACAAGAAAATCGATCTATGATCGTATTTTGCAGTCCTGGAATAGTAGAGAAATGGTGAACATGCCATAGTTCGCTCTCATAGTAAGACCGACCAATCCGGCGGCTCGCTTAGTCCGCTCCGAAGCTTCAACTTCACCTCACAAAGCCTTCCTCCTTTACCCCCCATCTCCTCTCCCCACCAACGTCCGAGGCAGGTTTTAAGCTGTCCACAACCCATATTGCTTTCGCTCGAGCATCGATTGACGCAACTTATTCGTCACAATGCCCGCCGCTATTCCTCCCATTACCGGCGTACGTGCCCCTTCCGTTCCAAGGCCGGTTTAACCCGAGCGGGTTGACCAGGTCAATTGAGATGTTCGCAATGATTTACTAACTTCTTATGCTTGTCTACAGATGCTCCGCCGTGGTCTTGTCCTGGACCTGAGCACCGCTTTCGGTAAGTTGTGATCCGGATCGAGTGGCATGATCGAAAGACGAGTTGGATATCGCAACCTCTCGGAAGCGACCACGTCAAATTCAAGAACCAGGATGACTCCTAGGATGAGATGAATAGGTGAAATAGTTGCTGATCAAGGTATCTCATCCACTAGGCTTCGGTACTACCTTCGGCTACCTCTGGTGGTACGGTAAGTAGATTATTCCCGGCTGCGCCAACCGATGCGATGACTCGAAATCTAATCATATATTTGTACTATAGGCTACCACCTTCCCCGCGTGCGTGAGCGCGATACCTACTACGCCCGCCTTGAGGCTGAGCGTGCTGCCCAGCGGGGTTAAATCGATCAACACTGATCACCTCTCGATCATCTCCTTCCCGCCCGTTCGGCGCCAGTTCTTTTCTTTGTCAAAGCGTTATCTAGAAAATCGCCCAGTGATGGGGGCGCATGTCTCGACATCATCCATCGGGCTTGGTTGAATCGACGGGTGTGTACGAGTGGGTTAGATTTGAGATCGATTGTACATATACGCCTGTGGACAACCAACCGTTCTGATTTTGGACCTTCTTTCTCTAACAACAGGATCGTGGCGATGCTTGACCCTACGCCTGACCTGCCAATGAGCGAATTGGATCTATTGTATTCAAACGCTAATTACGCCGGATATATGTACGTGAAAACACCAGCGCATCCCTCCGGGATCGCCGAACCATGTCTCCGCCATGTGTAAAACCATAGATCATCATCCCGTCTCATCGCCATGGGGGCAGTCTAGATATGGAAAGCAAATGTAAAGACATAGGCATTCACCGTAGCACCCGCTCAAATGTTATTCCCCGGACGGACCCGCCGGCCATGGAGTTGCGTACATTCCTCTTGAAGGTGTCACGAGTGGCGCGGAGATCTTCCGCCGCGTCCTTGTTAAGAGGGTCGGAGGCGTTTGGCTCGAGGAAAAGGAACTGCGGAATACCGGTCAGCGAAAGTAATGACCAGTCAAAAGAGATCAACGGACCTGCATGCCCACAATAACAGCATTCAGATTCAACACGGGCTTCCAGTCCTCTCGTAGAATGTTCAAGCAGACGTTGCCTTCCAAGTCGATATTTGGATGGTAGATCTTCTGCATGCATTTGACCTTGGGGGGATCGTGGGGGAAGTTCTGGTTGACGGCAAAGCTGAAGTTGAAGACACCACCCTTATACATGCCTTCGTCCGGTTCGATGGTCAGGATGAAGTTAAGGATGTCATCGGAGTTCGGGAAAGACATTTTCATCGTGCTGCCGAGGGTGAGTTCTTGAAGATCTAGAGATCTAAGATGTTAAATCCAGTACGCAAGCAGGGACAGTTATACTGTCCACTGCAGGAGAGTCACTCACCTCGCTGCACGCGTAATTGCGCCGCGGTGACCTTCTTCTTTTTCTTGCCTGCAGCACCTTCTGCATTCTCGGCTTCCTGTTGCTTTTGTTTCTGTACAGTGTTAGTGATAGTTCAACATTTCTATAAGAACCAAATAAAGCCTTACCATCGACCAGATTTTCAACATTTTGGCTGAGAGTCACCACCCCACCTAGTGGAAGGGACGGTTTAGGGGGGAGAGGAGGTTTACAAGGCAACCACCCTGAGTGGTGTTAGAGAAGAAAAGATAGAAAGAAAATGCAAAGCTGCAAAGCGCAAGATCAAATGACAACAGTGATGGTGAGAGTGAAGGATAGCCCCAGGTGCTCGCGGGGGTCTCAGATCAGCAATCGCCCTTTATCGCCTCTCCGCCTTCCACTTGACGTATTTGACCTCGGGAATTCTACCACACACTAATGGGATAGATCTCTACTTTGTATTTGAAATCTTGAAGAAAAATAAATTGAATATGAAGTACATAATCATAGCACCCTGAATACGATCCCGGTGCATGGTTCGACAAAAAAAGATCACAGTAACCGTCAAGGTACATACTGGCTGGCATTGCAAAAAAAAAAGAGAACAGGGTTGGGCATCTTTAGGTAGAATACAGATCACAGGAACTAAAAAACAGCTTGTGTCAGGGGGTCATGAAAAATGGTAGGCATTTTGTGCTCGCTGTCGAACTACCGGCGTGCAAAGCAGCACTTGATACCAGTGCGACCCAGGAACCAACAACATCCAATGAAACGGAACAACGCCACAACGGCGTTGGACCAGAGGAGGGCCTGGAAGAAATGGGCCGTACGGCTGGTGGCGGTGTTCTATGATCATGTTAGTTGTCTGATAACAAGGTTGAAAGAGAGGAAAACTCACGGTGAAGCCGAACTTATCGACGGACTCGCTGGTGATGCAGACCGCCAGGATTGCATTACTGAAGATCCAAAAGGTAACGAGACGGGTACGGAAGCTCTTGTAGGAGTCCTCTAGGGTCTTTTCGTCATGTTCCACGGGGGCAACGAATGGGGTGAGCGCACGCTTGACAGTGGCCTCGAACTGGCTGTCGATATCCGCTTGGGGCTTGTCAATTTCTTCAATCACTGCTTCCTTACTGCCCTCGTCTTTTGTGGTTGTGGCTGAGGGCAATGCATCGGCCTTGTCGGAACCCTTTGTACCCCAGGAGACATCGTGCCAATTACTGAAGGCATAGACGTTCAAAATGTTGATATAGGAGGACTGAACAACCATGTAGGCAGGGAAGGAGGTGAACATGTGCCAGGGGTCGGCGTACATGAAGGAGGCAACAAAGTAAAGGCCGAATGTGGCAGCCAAGGCAATGATAATGATACCAGCGCCCGTCGACCCGAAGAAAGAGTCGAGGAAGGCTTTCAGGCCTTTATCGGTAACAAAGTCCATGGGCGCTCCGCCACTGAACGCGCGAATAACCAGGTAGATCGAATCCACCACAATGTAAACCTGAATGAGACCAAAGACCACGAATGAGGCGAGGTACGAGAACTTGGAACCCTTGGGTCTGTTACCGAGGGCAAGAATGAACTGCAGTAATAGGAAGGCGAGGTATCCGTACTTGACGATCGTGTTGATGATGGGCGTGGCTGTCTCGCCGAAGGGGAAAGCTGAGTTTCCGTTGCTGGTGCTTGGAGTACCGACAAGGTCAATGATGACAACAGTGGTGAGCCAGTATGAAGCCAGCGAGAACCAGGTGAGGAGAGTGTTGAAGATGTTGTACAACATCTGAATGTGGAGGAAGAACATGCGAACGATGTTGTGGCCGCTCTTATACATACGGCCGAAGTGCATCAGCGAGTAAATTCCAGCTGCAAAAGAACCGTTAAGCCAACGGCGACGCTGGGAGATAAACTCGGCAGCACCCTCAGGCACATCAGTTTCACCCTTGGAGGCTTTGACGTAAGACAAGTGCCACTTGGAGCCTGCCTTGGCGACCAACTCGAAACAGAGAATGCGATCCTCGGCCAAGAACATGTTCTTCTTGAAAATGTTCATGCCCTCAATACCCTTCTTTCCAAGCTGCTTCGATAGCGTGTGATCACCGTGGAAATATTGTTCAAGAGGACGGCCCATGATTGCACGGAATCGATAGGCCGAGAATGCACCGGGCAAGACACTAACGTAACCGAACGAACTCTCCAGAGGCTTATCCAAGATATTACTGATCTTGTACTCGAAATTCTGGGCAGCCACGAGAGGGTTGACCAAGTTCCGCCATCCCTTACCCAACATAGCGTGGATTTCACCACAGGCACCACCGAGATCCTTATCGTTATAGAATGCCTCCCAGAGGTACAACAAGGACTTTGGGCCAGGTTTTGTACCGGCGTCGAGGAGGATACAGACTTCGGGGTTCAAAATGCGGCCGAAAGCGTTAAAGAGCCAGCGATGCGAGTTGATCTTCTTGCTGTTCTTTTGTTTCAAACAGAACATCATTTGCACGGGTGGTAGTGTGCTCGGGCCATCGTCCGTGGGTCGAATGAGCTGTTGACTGGGTGTGACCGATAGCTGGGTCGTATATTCGAACTGGTCCTGTCAGCGCCAGTTCATCTTTCTATCGGGGATAACTTACAATATGCGCCAGAGTCTCCTTGCCGTCAACATCGCGCTTCATAACACCGTCCTGATAGATACCGACAGTCGCAAGGACGTCAAGAGTATCCTTGTCGCAAGGATCAATACCGTCAAAGACCAGTGCCACAACAATCTTCTGCCACGCGGGTCCACCCTTGTTCCAGAACTCGGATTTCTTCAGGTTGACAATGTCGCGGATGTTCTGCATCACACCGTGCAAGGTACGGGCCGTGAGATTCTTGTCCTCGTTGTAGTAGGTAATCGCGATGAGCAGCTCCGTGTGACGATTGTACATGGCAGGGCGTAGATTGTAACCATTGTGGAGGGTGAATTCGTTCGGGTCACAAGTGGCTGCGGTGTATCGCATGTGAGTGAACTCTTCGCTTCCGCCTTCCACGTCGTTGCGGTATTTGGCTTGAATGGCATTCTGAATGGCACTAGGCACGGGGTAGTCGACACTGAGGACGGAACCCTGCACTAGCTTGACCTTCCTGGTAGCATATCTGCGCAAGCCACCGCCGCCACCGCCAGGAGTGCCTCCGGGGGCCTGTCGCTGGCGCCAAGCCTCGGTGGACGAGGTCTCGCTGCGGGCATAAGGCGATGCAACTCGGCCGGGAACCCCAAAGGCTGCTGCAGTACTTTCGTCCTGGCCAGAGTAGACGGTACCAGTGTTGTATGGATCGTGGTAAGAAGGGGCGGTGTCCGTTGCGTATGTCTCCGTCAAGCTGTACTTGGAAGCCGGACGTTGGGGAGAAACACCGCGCGAGTGTGGGTCATCAAAGGGTGTCGCAAATGGACCCTGTTGTTGGGATAATAATCCACGTGCTGCATCCTCGTCCTCGCGATACTAGAAAAAAAAAAAAAAAACACCGTCAGCTCGAGCGATTAATTCACCGCCTCTCATACATACCTGCGAAGCTGGCACATCCTGCAAATGATGACTATCATCATAGCTCGGTGAGTGCGAGCCAGAGCCGTGGTAGGCCATGGTATCGCCAAGGTTGAAGGAATCAGAAAGGGATGTGTTTCAAAGCTGACAAGAGAGGGGTATCTGTTCAAGCAGGGCGCATTTATGAACAATTATCGAAGCCACCGGGGCTGGAAAGAAGGATTTAGAATCTTGCAAAGTTTGAGTCAAGGGTCAAAGAGAAAAAGGAAGAGAAGGGGGGGGAAGGATGGGGTTAAAAAAAAAAGGGAGACAGTAGTGAGACTAGAAAGGTCAAAAATAGATCTTAGCCCCGTCCTTTCCCCTGGCCCTTTTTTTTTTTTTTTTTTTTCAAAAATTTAAGATGTTTATATTTTAAACTAGTTAGTGTATATTCTATATTGTCCTATGTAGTAAACATGTAAATACACATACTCCATCCCTATGGTGTAGATGTAGAGAGAACCCTGTGGCAGGCCCTGACTGGTTAAGATGTAAAAGGCTTGACATAGGAATTCCCGTTTTTCTTTCTGTATTTCTCTTTATTTTCTCTTCTCCTTTCTTTTTAACTAGATGTTCCCTTTTACTTATCATTCTTGGGAAGTGGACTATACCCGAACCTAATAAGCTGGCTCCACCGATGAAACGTCGAACCTCTCATAAGCTCGAGGATATACAACATATAGAGGATCCATTCCCGCATTCCGAAGAACACCAACATTCGAAAGGCTTAACACTTGTCGGTATACTTAACTCCAATTCAAACGCCACATTTACATCTACATTTGCAAATTTTTACTATTCATTCTATTCCATTCTATTCCGTATTCTTTTATTAGTTCTCTCTCCACCTGGGGCTGAAGCTTGGAAGTATATTCTCAGGTCACCTGACGATAATCTCAGACATTACCCCAAGTGTCTATAGGGCTTATATGCCCTATTATACTATCATTAGACATGGGCTGAGTTGTTCAGCTCCATTATACGAGTGGCTAGTGGCGCCCATGTGTCATTTTTTTTTTCCTCCCTTATTTCCCCGACCTAATATAATAAGATTTCAGTGACTCCTACCAAGCGATGTTAGAGATTAATTACCCACTAACCTTGTTTGGGAATTAAATCCAAACAGTGCAAATAGTACAAACCCAACAAAGAAAAATCCCACGTAATTTTGGAAGATTAATGATCCGACCTCGGGAGAGTCCAGACCTCTAGGATGTCCACTTATTTCCCTCACGTCCAAGTAAGGATGGGATGAAACAATCTGATATTTTAACATTAAAGGTGTGATCTCTCAATTTTATATATTTCCTTTGATCCTCTTTACTCAACCGCTTTATTCCGTACATAAAATATATCATACAATTTGAAGCTTATATTGTGTACCTGACTACCCCGTATCTCACCCGTGGAACCTCCAGGCCCGTGACCCCATCCTCTCAACCTAACACATACTCTTTCTCTCTCGTCTTCTCTTCCTCCTTTTCCATCTATTTATTCCCTCCCACGTTGATCTTTCCGTGGCTCGAGAGTTTGTGAGTCTCTCTCTCATACGCGCGGCCAACGTCAACAAATCAAGCCTCCCCCTATCTCCACCGTCTTTGACGTATACAATCTCTGTCAAAGTGCCTGGACCATTCCAAGGACCATGATCATCGCTTAACCCTCACATCTCGATCTTTATCTCACACACGACACTCGTTTTCCTGCGCCCACTCGGCTTTGATGATCTACTCTTTACGCTCACGACTTGACGCCGATTGAGCATCTTACACTCCTTTTTCCATCTTTGATTTTGCACATTCCTTGCCGTTGATCGGCTTTATCGATATCGCCCCGTCTTTTTTTGTATTCCCATCTCGATTTTCCTCGCCCATCATGCTTCTCGAACCCATCGATTCCGCCTTCTCCCCGGCCCACTCTCTCTTTAAGCGCTGCAAGCAGTGTGAAACCTCATCCCCCGCTTGTCCCTCATGTCCCGATGGATCAATATGTACCATGACCGCCCCGAGCTGTGATGAATGTGCGACCACAAAATGTATTTCAAACGGCTCCAAGTCCTCGGACTCTGGGGGCTCCGACACGGGCGCTATTGCCGGTGGAGTCATTGGTGGTGTGGCTGCCATCGCTCTCATTGTGTTCTTGGTATGGTGGTTCGTCATCCGAAAGAAGCGCCTGGAGCGCCAGGAGGCGGAGAAAAACAGTTCATTCGACGCGGCTCGCAGTGAACGTCAGTCCATCGCCTCTACAGTCCTAACCCGTGCCTCCAATGTCATCCAAATCGCCTACATTCCTGGTGTCACCAACCGCTCCCCGCCGCAGACCCCATCCTCCCTCATGCCTCCCGTTCCACCGCTTCCTGGTGCGACCCCCGATCAACACTTCTTTATGCCCGGTGACCTACGTGACTCATCGTGGACAACCACTACCGGCCACCAGAGCATCTCCCCCACTTTGCGCAGCAGTGTGGCTACCACCATCTACCGTAACGATGCCATCGTCAGTGCCATGCCTGCGCAGCAAATCCAGCGGACTCGTGCAGCCGTGGTGAGCATCCACAATGGAGGAGCCGGGCCCAATGCCCCTGGAGACGATTCGCCTGTTGCTGTCACGGTGACTCCTGCGGACGCACCTGCAGTCCCAGCGATCACCCCGGCGCAACTCGCTCGGGCGGAGGCGGTCAAGGGCAATAGTTCATGTGTGGCTCGCAGTGTAACGGCCAAGCCGGTGATGGTGCGTGGTCCTTCGGTCAAGAAGAAGCAACCCAACACCGCACCTGCTGTCGACCGGATCGAAGAGCTGTCCGAGAAGAGTAAAAGCAACAACACAAGTCGGGCGGTGCCAACCACAAACAGCGATCAGCCCAACCATAACGTTTCCACATTTGACGGGTCCTCGGGCGAAGATGACACACCTCCATCATCCACCGCCAACCTGGAAACCGATTCCTCGCATCGCCAGAGCGACTCACGTCGAGCTTCCGGCTTGAGTGACGGACGCAACTCCACTCGGACGCCACCCACCCGGGTCGAAAGTCCATTTTCGGATGCGAATGAGGTGAAATGAGTAGGTCTAGGACTGGGCGCAACGGTTTTTCTATTTTTGTGATTTTTAACCTTGTTTTCTTTGTATGTATGAAGCCTGTCACGGCTTTTTGTGCCTTTTTGATACGTTGAATCTTTTCCTCGGGTGCCTCGTACAGCGAGTGTCGGCACACTGAGATGTAACTGACTGTTGATTGAATCTATACTCTCATTGATTGTCATTTTGGGTATCGTACATACCTTTATCTTTATATTCGTACTGCCATGGGAATCCGGTGTTTTACGTCCCATGGGCTTCTTTCAATGGACTATTATGTCTCTTTATATTGATATTTGCCAGAAGTTGAAATAGATAAAACGTTTACTAAAACCCAGATTTGAAAAGTCTGGTTTCTGGTATTTCATTCCAATCTTTTGAATAGAGAAATTGTTCACAGTGCATATTTAGGGAGTCTATCACACTTCCCATTTATATAGTTTCGACTCCTACTATACGAATTCACGCTTACTACTCGACCACTTCGAGGTCTTTGGTATATTGTTTTGTTCTCTCGGCCTTATTATATATTTTTGATATCGACATAGAGTTATAAAAACAGCACTGCCAGAGAGAGGTTCCCTATGCACAGACTCACAACCTATTTAACACATCCTAGGAAGAGTAAACCCTTGATTTTAGGCTCACGGTGAGTATTCTCCGGCTAACCAGTTTCAAGAGATATTTTCTGGTTCATTCACTCTCAATTTCGGAGGCCAGGGGCCCAAGGCCGAAAGTGAGGTATGCCGAGAACGATTGGAGGTTACACATAGAGCGAAAAATAGAGAAGGGAACCTAAAATGTCGAGTGTATTTCCTTGACTCATGTCCGAGGGCTTGGATTGGCGTCTGGTCTATACGGAATATAAGAGGTAGATTGGGTCTTGCACCCATTGGTATGAGCGAGCATAAATACATAGCAGAGTTCCCCAACAAAAGAGACCCAGCAGATATCCTAGTATCTGTGATATCCCGCCAAGCCATGGCATATGGACTTGGAAGACATTGCTTGGCTTGGCACCGAACTACTCCGTACAGAGGTCTCTGCTAGATGTTGGTAAAAGTAGAAAGGGTATATATAACCAGAAATGCCTAGTCAGTGCTCAGCATCCGATAGCTCAGGCCACGTTCTCATCTAAACCCATTCCATGTCCGATTTTACGAATCAGTGCCCGCTTGAGCAGAGCTTCACGTGCGAGACTTCGTGTATGCCGCGACCAGGAATCGACACCAATGACACCGCGGACTAGGGCAGCCTGCAACGCATAAAGAGCTTGCTGTATGCCTTGCTCCTCGGCGACCAAATCATATAGCTGTTTCCCTACTACGGTGGGGGCGACCAAGACGTCATCGATTGGGGGCAGGCCGGAAGGAGTGTCTCCATGAGCGCTAGAAGTGGAGATAGATGTAGAGCGGGACTGTGCATCTGCGATAGTCGCATCGGCGCGATTGATCGATTGCTGTAGGACAGTAGTGTTGGACTGCAGGGTCGCGTGGAAAGTATTGAGCGCCGAGACCTCCCCCTGTAGCGTGGCCATAGCGGCGTGCAGGGACCGTGATTGTGAGACAAGGGACTGCGCTGCCGTGTCGGACTGTGCAGCGTTAGCGCGGAGGGTTTCCGCCAGGGTCCGGGACACGGCATGAAGAAGTGCATCTTTTTCTGGGTTTGGTGGGATGGGAGGCGCTGGTCCTGTGGGTGCGATTGAGGGTAGCTCGACTTCAAATGGCGAGGTTAGAAGGTCGGGTGTGTCAGCCTTGGTTGGAGCTGCTGGGGGTGGGTGGGGATAATTGGATGGGTATGGAGAATGCTGAGGGTACGGGGGACCAGATGGTTGCTGGTGTAGTTGATGGGGAAGTTGCGGCTGCAGAGACAAGTGCGCCCCCGCTGGGTTAGCTTGAGCAGAGAGCTGGGTTGATATATTGGACCCAGGGCCGTGATTAATCGACGCTCCGTTGTTTCTATAATACGGTGCTTGACCCTGC